GGGGGGGGTGAGATGAGAAAGACCTGTCACTGTGACTAGTGGGGGGGGGGGGGTGAGATGAGAAAGTCCTGTCACTGTGACTGGGGGGGGGGGGGGGTGAGATGAGAAAGTCCTGGCACTGTGACTGGAAGGAGGGAGGGGGAGGTGAGATGAGAAAGTCCTGGCACTGTGACTGTCTGGGGGAGGTGAGATAAGAAAGTCCTGACATTGTGACTGTCTGGGGGGAGTTGAGATAAGAAAATCCTGACATTGTGACTGTCTGGGGGGAGGTGAGATAAGAAAGTCCTGACATTGTGACTGTCTGGGGGGAATGAGTGAAACCTGTCAGTCTGGCTGGCACTCATTGATCACTTTGAATGAGATCAGCTAGTAAACCACATGAATGTAATGTGAGAGATACAGGAATTCTGTGATTGTTATACCAGGTTGCTGGTACTGCTGTTTGTTGTACAACCTAGCCATGCTTTGTAGAACATCTGGAATTGACATTTTAAGAGTTGTATCTCCAAAAAGTATAGCAGATGTTGTTGGACCTGGACAAGGAATATACACATTGTTGTATGTTGACAAAGAACATAGACATTGTTTGAATTTGACAAAGAACATAGACATTGTTGTATTGTTACAAAGCACTGGAGATGATAATTGCACACCAGACCTGACCAGCCTGCGGATGATCAGTTATAAACCAATTCCTGTATTGATATTGTTGTTACTGTCTGCTGCTGTTATGTTGACAAAACTCACAAACTCCACACCAGCTGCTGGTTTCCTCATCTTGATGCCTTGTCCCCATACTCTAGCTGATCATCACACAGCCAAACTAGATGTTTCATTGTAAATAACATTGTTCATGTCTTGCCATGTCATGTCAGGATTTGTCCGCCCATATCAGGACTTGTAATGCCATATCAGGACTTCTCCTATCAGGACTTGCCTGAGATTTGTTGCCTTCTATGCAACCATGTCTAGTTTTTAAAACTCCGTGACTCTCCTCAGTTTCAGAAGCATCCTGCTTTTTTTTTTTTTCTGTCCATTGTTCTGGACAGTCAGAGTAGTGTATATTATTTTATTTATTTGAAAGCTTTTATATTTAATTAATCTTTGTAAGACTACAGGACACAGCTGTGAGACTGTACAGGTAGACAAGCCATGGCGGTATGACTACATGTGTAAGCAAGACATGACACATCTGTAAAAATCTACAAGTGTAGACAAGATACAGACACAGCTGTATGATTGTACAGGACACGGACACAGCTGTAAGACTACAGGTGTATTGACACATACATAGCTGTAAGACTACAAATGTGACAGGACACAGCTGTGAGACTACAAGAGTGAAGACAGCTGTGAAAATCTGCAAGGGTAGAGAAAAGACATGGACACAGCTGGAAGACTACAAGAGTGCTGACAAGACAGCTGTGAAAATCTGCAAGTGTAGAGACAAGACATAGACACAGCTGGAAGACTACAAGAGTGCTGACAAGACAGCTGTAAAAATCTGCAAGTATAGAGACAAGACATGGACACAGCTGGAAGACTACAAGAGTGCTGACAAGACAGCTGTGAAAATCTGCAAGTGTAGAGACAAGACATAGACACAGCTGGAAGACTACAAGAGTGCTGACAAGACAGCTGTAAAAATCTGCAAGTATAGAGACAAGACATGGACACAGCTGGAAGACTACAAGAGTGCTGACAAGACAGCTGTAAAAATCTGCAAGTGTAGAGACAAGACATGGACACAGCTGTATGATTGTACAGTATTCGGACACACACAAAATGTTTCTCACCAGCTCTCCCATATTCAAGGAGTCAGATATATATCCTGTGACCATCTTTATGTTGGTCGGTCCCTGCCCCTCATTTTGGTACCATGCCTTCTACTATTTCTAAAATCTGCAGTGACACTTGATATGACCAGAATGTTCCGAGACAAAATGCTGTTTATTAGCCAATCTTCTTTGATGTTCAGGGAATTATGCGAGAATGCGAGGACTTATCTAGTGAAAACTACATACATAGTAAAATACAGTGACAGAAACTGTAGTCTGCTGTGTGATGCTGGGACCCCAATAAACATTCTATGTACAAATTGTCTAAATTATTCAAATTTTTTCAAAAACTGATATAACCACATCTTATGACTGAAAATCTTTGGGCCAAATGACTTTTCTTTTTTATTTTAAGAGATATTAATAATATATCAACAATGATTTCATAAGTGCACATACTGATATGTGTATTGTGTTTGGATCAGGCAAGTCTGGGGAGTTGGACCCCCGCCTGCCGATTGAAAGATCAGGAGTTCACATCCTGACAGAGCCAGACTGCCAGGTCATCCCAACCTTGAATGGGTACCAGGGGTGCAGTCCTGAGAAGTAAAGGTGGCTGCGTGATGCTAACTACATTACCCAACAAGTGCCAATTGGTCTATATTGTGGGGGGGGGGGGGGGGGGGCGCATCTGAAGCCACTTCTACTTAATGATTTTCAAATGGACTTGCAATGTAATGATGCCAGTGTGTTTGCAATACAAGCCAGAGCACAAATCAAGCCTTGAAATATTTGCACATGTGAATTTCTGGATCTGAAAATACTAATAAAATGATCACTCTTCAGCAATCGTCCATTGTTTATTTGATAACAGGCTGGTTTTGCACCACTCAGTGGTGAACTGATGCATGACAAACTGGATGTGGTTGGTTGCTTTGGGAGCAAATGAACAATGCAGAGACTTAGATTGTCACGATCTGCAGGAAATGGTACAGCTAAGAATGACAATTGGAACTGGTCAACAGAGGACAGGCAAGAAGATGGACATACAATCCAATCTTGTTAACACAAACTCCATTAACATGAATACAGCTGTGGTCACAGCAGGAATGTATTATTCATAATACTGTACATGTATTAATCCCCGGTTCTCAAAAATTTTATTTAATATGATTTTAGAGGTCCTTGGAATTTGTGATTACAAGAATTTACTGTATGCTCAAACTCCTACTGGCGATATCCAAATCGGAGCTGTCTGCCTGGCTCCTGAAGATGGAGCACTTATGGGAATGTCACTAGTGCTATGACATTAGTTAGTAACTCAAATTAATTGTTTATTTCATGAAAAGTTGTACAACTATGGTGCCTGTAGCGGCATGATGACAGTAGAAGAGAACTGTGTCTGAAATACTTGTACAAATCTGACCAAGTGTCTCACAACGGTTGGTCAAAGCCTTAGAATGCTCTGAGACTAGCCTGGGGAAGACAAATCTGTTTTTATAAAACTCCAGAGGACTTCAATCTATGAGCATCAAGCAGATAGGCAAGCCAGATGGCCACCGCAATATCTGCAGCCCCCCAAGCCACAACATTTTTTAAGACAACAAAAGGAAGTAATCAATAAATATGAAAGCAGCAGAATTAATGTTACTTATTCATTTTGATCCACACAAATTGCTTATTGGCAAAACCAGGCTGCAAAATATGACCTCAAATAAAAGAATAATGACTTCTTATTCTTTCTCTCGAAATCTTTTCAACCGTATTTTGATTAGTAAAAGATAATCACACCCAGACACTGCATGTTGACAGACGACTGTCAGTCAGAAAGGATTTATGAAGTGTCATACGACTGCTGCCCCACCCACAGAGAGCCATGGAAGAAGTTTCAAGCGGTGACACCAACAGTTCAATCTGATGTGACTAAGCAATGATAACATGACCAGACATTTCATGTCAGGTGCCACACATTCGGGGGTTGAGCTGGTTTCTCCTCTAATTTAGCAACTGAGCCATCTTAATACAAATGTTTGCTGCTATTTGAGAAATTTGGTTCCACAAACTTATCTGCTGCCTTGTGACTCAGAATGTTAGTCAGTGAAAGCCAATCAGTGAAAATCTGAATCTGTCTCTAAGCATTGTTTTTATGAATCAATGTTGCTGCAACAGACATAACACATTCTCTATGCCTGTGATATTGTGTCTTCCAACATCAACACTTGCAACAGACATGTCACTCTCCATGTGTCAATGTTGCACTATCAACTCCCTCTGCTGGTGTCAATGTTGCATTATCAACTCCCTCTGCTGGTGTCAATGTTGCATTATCAACTCCCTCTGCTGGTGTCAATGTTGCACTATCAACTCCCTCTGCTGGTGTCAATGTTGTACTATCAACTCCCTCTGCTGGTGTCAATGTTGCACTATCAACTCTCTCTGCTGGTGTCAATGTTGCATTATTAACTCCCTCTGCTGGTGTCAATGTTGCACTATCAACTCTCTCTGCTGGTGTCAATGTTGCATTATTAACTCCCTCTGCTGGTGTCAATGTTGCACTATCAACTCTCTCTGCTGGTGTCAATGTTGCACTATCAACTCCCTCTGCTGGTGTCAATGTTGCACTATCAACTCCCTCTGCTGGTGTCAATGTTGCACTATCAACTCCCTCTGCTGGTGTCAATGTTGCACTATCAACTCTCTCTGCTGGTGTCAATGTTGCATTATCAACTCCCTCTGCTGGTGTCAATGTTGCACTATCAACTCTCTCTGCTGGTGTCAATGTTGCACTATCAACTCTCTCTGCTGGTGTCAATATTGCATTATCAACTCCCTCTGCTGGTGTCAATGTTGTACTATCAACTCTCTCTGCTGGTGTCAATGTTGCATTATTAACTCCCTCTGCTGGTGTCAATGTTGCACTATCAACTCTCTCTGCTGGTGTCAATGTTGCACTATCAACTCTCTCTGCTGGTGTCAATGTTGTACTATCAACTCCCTCTGCTGGTGTCAATGTTGCACTATCAACTCTCTCTGCTGGTGTCAATGTTGCATTATCAACTCCCTCTGCTGGTGTCAATGTTGCATTATCATCTCCCAATGCTGGTGTCAATGTTGCATTATCAACTCCTTCTGCTGGTGTCAATGTTGCATTATCAACTCTCTCTGCTGGTGTCAATGTTGCATTATCAACTCCTTCTGCTGGTTTCAATGTTGTGTTTGTTATCAACTCCCACCGCTGGTGGTCACTTTAGCAGCATCAGCTCTGATTACACTGATAACTTCCTGGTTGATCAAAAATGTGAACCTCAAGCAAGAAATCTGGAAGAAATAATTAAAATAGCTATTTTTATAAGCATTATTGTGGATGCAATAGCATTACATACTGCAGGGTGTCTACAACTGGTCAGCTGTCAATGTGAGTTCTATGTCAGCTGTCAATGTGAATTCTATGTCAGCTGTCAATGTGAGGTCTCTGTGAGCTGTCAATGTGAGGTCTCTGTCAGCTGTCAATGTGTGAGGTCTGTGTCAGCTGTCAATGTGTGAGGTCTGTGTCAGCTGTCAATGTGTAAGGTCTGTGTCAGCTGTCAATGTGTGAGGTCTATGTCAGCAGTCAATGCGAGGTCTGTGTCAGCAGTCAATGTGAGGTCTGTGTCGGCTGTCAATGTGAGGTCTATGTCAACAATCAATGTGAGGTCTATGTCAGCAATCAATGTGAGGTCTATGTCAACAATCAATGTGAGGTCTATGTCAGCAGTCAATGTGAGGTCTATGTCAGCAGTCAATGTGAGGTCTATGTCAGCAGTCAATGTGAGGTCTATGTCAGCAGTCAATGTGAGGTCTATGTCAGCTGTCAATGTGAGGTCTATGTCAGCAGTCAATGTGAGGTCTATGTTAGCTGTCAATGTGAGATCTATGTTAGCTGTCAATGTGAGGTCTATGTCAGCTGTCAATGTGAGGTCTATGTCAGCAGTCAATGTGAGGTCTATGTTAGCTGTCAATGTGAGGTCTATGTCAGCAGTCAATGTGAGGTCTATGTCATCTGTCAATGTGAGGTCTGTGTCAGCTGTCAATGTGAGGTCTATGTCATCTGTCAATGTGAGGTCTATGTCAGCAGTCAATGTAAAGTCTATGTCAGCAGTCAATGTGAGGATGTCATCTGTCAATGTGAGGTCTATGTCAGCTGTCAATGTGAAGTCTATGTCAGCAGTCAATGTGAGGTCTATTTCATCTGTCAATGTGAGGTCTTTGTCAGCTGTCAATGTGAAGTCTAAGTTAGCTATAGGAGTCTGTGGCTTAAGCATTGAGAATGCGGTTCGATCCCAGCTGCAGGACTTGCGTGTTGCTTTGCTTTCAACAGTGGTACAAAGAAGCCGACTACCCAGAAAGCAATGGCAAACTACTGGGCGTAAATTTGCCTACAACAGCCAAAAAATGCTAGTGCTGGTTTTGCAATGTTCTGTAAAGGATATTGCTCCCTGCTGATTTGGGAGTGTAATACTGTGTGAAGGGGCAGAGCGGTATGATAGTGATTTCCGGGAGTTCAAGGGGAATAGTGTCAACATTGACCTGAGTAGTGAGGGGGAGAGAATGTTGACCAGTGAAAAATGTATTATCACCGACAAGGCATGCACGCCCGTGAAAGTAGACGCGTGGGTTTACTGTGTGTGGGCTGATAAGCATAACTAATGAGCCACACCAAGAAAATGTGAATTACGTGACAGCGTGATTCTCATGTAACATTAGCCACCCACATAAGCGTGATCCCCGAGAAATCCCACGTAAGCGTGATTCTCGAGAACGCCCACATGAGCATGACTCCCGAGAACGCCCACACGAGCGTGCCTCTCGTGTAAACATCAACCGCCCACATGAGTCCGGCAGGGATATATTGGGCTGCGTAGACAGTCCGAGTCAGTGAGCTGTAGCCACAGGGCTAAAGCAACGCGGAAGTGCGGGTGTAGTACACACCCAGTACGAGAGAGCTGCGAGCCAGTCAGAGTCCAAGACAGAGTATTGAGAAACCATCAGACATCAAGGTTTGTGTAAGTGTTGTACTGGTCGAAGTTATAGCTCCGCTGGCGAAGTAAGTCCAAGGGGACTAAATGCTCCAGTAGTGAATGTTCTGGGTGACGATGCAAGAAGACGAAAATTCACCACGGAAACAGATCGGTAGTGATGCCGACGAGAGCTGTGTGCTAGAGGAGACTTGTGTTGGAAGTCCTGTCGGTCATTGGAGTCCTTCAACAGGCCGACGTGCTGTCTGCTTCGGAGAACGTCAAGGGTAGTCCGTATCCAGTCAGCTGTGGTTGTCTGCTGAAGTAATATCAAGGTCCAGTGATAGGAAAATTCGTCCTGTTTAGCTGTACAGCGAGCCTAGAGTTGTGGGACGCGGTAGACCTGTGCAGCTGTAGTGGTCAGGGAGAGGATACTAGAAGTTGCGAGTGAGGACTAATATATGGACTTTGTTCAAATGTCAATTAGGATCAATGTCTACGTCTCTGCAATTTTGTTGATGTGAGGGCTTGTGTATACCCTCTTGTGTTGTGTCAAATAAATCCGGTGTATGACGGAACTACTGTCGCCAAGTCCTGCTTCCAGAGTCAGGGAGCAAAAGTTGTAACTGCTGGACACTTGGTAGTGGGCTGATTAGTGTGTCACTCAGATAGCACACAACAGATATGCAACTAACATTAACTTATCAGCTATCAATGAGAGGAGCGTGCCAGCCAAAAAACATGACTGATGTATTTATCTCTTTTACAGAAAACATGACTGGTGTATGTTTATCTCTACCACAGAAAACATGACTGGTGTATGTTTATCTCTACCACAGAAAACAAAGATAACTGGTGTATGTTTATCTCTACCACAGAAAACATGACTGGTGTATGTTTATCTCTACCACAGAAAACAAAGATAACTGGTGTATGTTTATCTCTACCACAGAAAACAAAGATAACTGGTGAATGTTTATCTCTACCACAGAAAACAAAGATAACTGTGTATGTTTATCTCTACCACAGAAAATATGACAGGTGTATGTTTATCTCTACCACAGAAAACAAAGATTACTGGTGTATGTTTATCTCTACCACAGAAAACATGACTGGTGTATGTTTATCTCTCCCACAGAAAACAAAGATAACTGGTGTATGTTTATCTCTACCACAGAAAACATGACTGGTGTAAGTTTAATGTTTATCGCTACCACAGAAAACATGACTGGTGTATGTTTAATGTTTATCTCTACCACAGAAAACATGACTGGTGTATGTTTAATATTTATTTCTACCACAGAAAACATGACTGGTGTATGTTTAATGTTTATCTCTACCACAGAAAACATGACTGGTGTATGTTTAATGTTTATCTCTACCACAGAAAACATGACTGGTGTATGTTTATCTCTACCACAGAAAACATGACTGGTATATGTTTATCTCTACCACAGAAAACATGACTGTCCTATGTTTATCTCTACTACAAAAACAATCATGACTGGTGTATAGTTATCTCTACTATAAAAACAATCATGACTGGTGTATGTTTATCTCTACTATAAAAACAATCATGACTGGTGTATGTTTATCTCCACTATAAAAACAATCATGACTGGTGTATGTTTATCTCTACTATAAAAACAATCATGACTGGTGTATGTTTATCTCTACTATAAAAACAATCATGACCGGTGTATTTTTATCTCTACTATAAAAACAATCATGACTGGTGTATGTTTATCTCTACCACAGAAAACAAAGATAACTTGTGTATATTTATCTCTACCACAGAAAACATGACTGGTGTATGTTAATCTCTACCACAGAAAACATGACTGGTGTATATTTACCTCTACCACAGAAAACATGACTGTTGTATGTTTATCTCTACCAGAGTAAACATTACTGGTGTATGTTTATCTCTACCACAGAAAACATGACTGGTGTATATTTACCTCTACCACAGAAAACATGACTGGTGTATATTTATCTCTACCACAGAAAATATGACTGGTGTATATTTATCTCTACCACAGAAAACATGACTGGTGTATATTTATCTCTACCACAGAAAACATGACTGGTGTAAGTTTAATGTTTATCGCTACCACAGAAAACATGAATGGTGTATGTTTAATGTTTATCTCTACCACAGAAAACATGACTGGTGTATATTTATCTCTACCACAGAAAACATGACTGGTGTATGTTTACCTCTACCACAGAAAACATGACTGGTGTATGTTTATCTATACCACAGAAAACAAAGATAACTGGTGTTTGTTTATCTCCACCACAGAAAGCGTGACTGGTGTATGTTTACCTCTACCACAAAAAACATGACTGGTGTATATTTACCTCTACCACAGAATTGTTACAAAGCTTCTGTTTGCTGCCTGCCAACACTGGACGGCCGTCCACAAGGATTGGCCGTTTACCCTCGTTAGCAATGAAGAAATCTCCGCTGTTCCTTAAGGATGATCAATGACATCAAGACATGAAGTAAATAAGACATTAAACTTGTCTAGCAAAGAAAAATGGTTCAGTAAGTAACATACAGAATAAACATGTGCCTCTATAAATGCTGAATTAAGAATCAATCACAGCACTCTGACACTCCCATAAGTGCACTGTCCCCATTTTCGGCAGCAAGCGAAGAGTTCCAATTCCAATGGCACCAGTAAGTGTCTGATTGTATATCCATCTCCCCTTTCTCTTGAGTGTTGACAGTCGACCAGAAACTCCTAGCGCCGCCATTCTCCTCAGACCGCAATGATCTATTTGTGCCTCCTCTGCAATGTTCAATCGCTCCCAAAGAGCCCTCACAAAATCAAAGTTGTCATACATTAATTCACCACCAAGTACCACAGACCTGGCCAGTCTATCTACTTGCTTGTTTCCTAATACACCGGCATGACCTGGAAGAAACATTCAAAAGATGCTAACTATCCGGAACCTCTGAAGTGATGCTTGCCATTCTGCAAGAAGCATGCCAGTCTCCACCTTTCTCAACATAATCTGTGAGTCAGTTATAATTATGATATGCACGTACAAGTGATACTCAATCCAGCTGAAAGCTGTGGCTGCCTCCTCCTCCATTCTTTTCAAACAAACACTTATTAACTCGGTAAATCTCGCAAATATACTATATTTTCAGCTTTCAGACCACGTTTCTAAATGAGCTCGCCTGATATTAGACACAAAGAACTTGAAAGGAAGTTGAAGTTGAGCAGTCTGTGTTTTATAACTGGTCAGTGTCGATTGGGCCGCGCGGTTGTAACAAAATAGCGCGTGATGCATTTCCTGGGACTCAAAGAGTTAAGACGCAACATCTGACTATGTGACATAATAATGCAAAGATTAAATAACAATGATGAATTTTTTTCCACCTCAAAAAATATTTATTTTTTTGTTTGTAAATATTATCACCCCCACTATGTATACACACGATGCAGTTGCTGCTAACACCAAAGCTTTTATACAGGCATAGCAACCACTGCCCAAAGATCAAATGCCATTAAAAAAACCGACAAGCCTAGATATTAGCATTTAAGGGCCGAATCAACCAAAGGGATCTTATTTGTCACATGACTCCCTGACCATCCCTCGGGACCTCTCTACCTGTCCTATTGTCTGTTGTTAGCAGGTGTTAACCACGTAATTACTCTAGTGTGCCTGCTGTATCTCAGGACTGAGCATGCATGGGAATGTTCGATGTGCAGTATGTCAACTGTGATAACTCAGCTGAAGAAGGCTCTCTAGCCACAACAATTTGTTGCATGTCCTAGTTGGTTGGGTGAGGGAAACTATACAGATGTATTTTCCATCTAGGCAGACTGTTTTCATCAAAAACTTCTTGTGACATCCAGCGAAAAGGTCAAGACTGCAACAGAGTGGCAATAGACTGGATTATAAACAGAGTGGCAATAGACTGGATTATAGAGTGGCAATAGACTGGATTATAAACAGAGCGGCAATAGACTGGATTATAAACAGAGTGGCAATAGACTGGATTATAAACAGAGCAACAGCTTCTATTAGGAACGGAATTCAGGGGACCCCAACAAAACAGTTTAATGACCTGGACTTCGCTGATGACATTTCTCTCTTATCCCACTCATAAAATCGGATGCAAAATAAACAGACCTGATGATAAATCACAGCAGCTAGGTCTAAGAATCTATAGAGGAAAGAGAAAGATAACGAGAATAAACCAACAAATAGTCATCTAGTAATCTACCACACTCTAAGATGTGGAGCCATACACCGATGTGGGCAGTCTTGTATACAAAGATGGGGCAACTGACAGAGATATTTTTTGTTAAAGTACAAAACTAATACAGACAACAAATCAATGCCACTAACAACAGGAATTAATGCAGGAAACAAATCAACACTAACAGCATGATCTAATACAGGAAACAAATCAACACTAACAGCATGATCTAATACAGGAAACAAATCAACACTAACAGCATGATCTAATACAGGAAACAAATCAACACTAACAGCATGATCTAATACAGGAAACAAATCAAAGACCCAAACAAGAACACAGGAAAAAATGAACAGCAAAAACTTGAACTAATATAGGAAACAAATCAATGGCACAAACTAAAACAGGAAATAAATCATGGAACAAACAAAGATAGGAAACAAATCAAAGGCACAAACATGAACTAATATAGGAAACAAATCAATAACACAAACTAATATAGGAAAAAAATCAATGGCACAAACATAAACTAATCCAGAAAGCAACGCTCAAATGTACCTGAGTTTGATGATTCCTTGCCGTCTGGAGACTTTCCATGCCGGTCCTTCCAGAGATAAGTCCACATCCACATGATTGTCTGCTGTAGATCTGCCCAATGAGATCTGTTCAGAATATTACAGATAAATTGTCATCACAAATTGTGATCTGATCTTGTATGTGTAGATGTGTTATGTGTATATATGTTATGTGTATATATGTGTTATGTGTATATATGTGTTATATGTATATATGTGTTATGTGTATTTATGTGTTATGTGTATTTATGTGTTATGTGTATTTATGTGTTATGTGTATATATGTGTTATGTGTATATATGTGTTATGTGTATATGTGTTATGTGTATATGTGTAATGTGTATATGTGTAATGTGTATATGTGTAATGTGTATATGTGTTATGTGTATATATGTTAATGTGTATATGTGTTATGTGTATATATGTGTTATGTGTAAATGTGTTATGTGTATATATGTGTTATATGTGTATATATGTGTTTGTGTGTGTGAGTGAGAGGGGGGGGGGGGGGGGGGGGGGGGAGAGAAGAGCATTAAAAAAAAATACTAAAGAGCAATAACTACTTTGCTGTACACATGGAAAAAAATTGGGAAACTTACTTGAATGTTTTGTGATATTTAATGCAAAGAGACATCCCTGTTCAACTTTGTTCAATGCTTTGAGATATATCATGAAAAGATTTAAAACAAATTTTCTTTTGTTTAACCATGACATGTAGAAACAATCAGCTTCAAACTATCACAAATGACAAGTCAACATTGTGACTAGAGAGCCTTCATCAGTACAATACATGAATTTATATTAACACAAACAAGAAGAATATACAAAATCACTCAAATGAAATAACTTCAAGGGAAATCACATGTTTGTCTGGCCGAGACTCCTGGAAATAAATACTAGATAGAAGAAGCCGTGAACTGCAAGAGTTGTAACACTCAAATATTCTATAAAACTGTGTTGGGTGTTAGTCTCCTATGTGAAATGGAGCCCATTAGATAGATGAGGTGGTTCTCAAGAGACTGACAGGTTCTGTCATTGGAGTGGCTGGACCTGATGGCTGTAACAAGGACACCTTGGTCTACTTCTCTTTGCATGTGAAACATGGACCATTTATTAGCAACATGCTGAGAGGCTGAACCATTTCTCCACACAGTTTCTGCCTCCAAAAATTGCTCAACATGAAATGGCAAAACAGGATTCCTGACACTGAACTTCTTGACAGAGCTGGACTGTCCAGCATTTACTAGATTCTAAAACAATCACAACTTTGCTGACCAACTGACCAAAATTTTTTTTTCGATGGTGAGCTACTAAAAAGAAAACGCTGGACAGAAAAAAATGCTTCAAGGACAGTCTCGAGACCGATCTGAAAGACTTCTGTACTGATCCTAAAACCTGGGAAGTTCAGCAGGATCCCCGATCTGAAAGTCTCTGACTGACCGATCTGAAGCAGTACTGATCCTAAAACCTGGGAAGTCGCAGCATGTGACCCCTCATCCCGGCGCACCTCTCTTCATTGATAAGCTCTGGCCCATGAAGCTGCAAGAGCTGCAGAAGTAATTCAGAAAAGACAAGACATGAAAGACACTGAAGCAAATCACCCGAGATCAATTTCAAATTTAAGATGAGCTTCCTTTTTTTCAGGTGAAGAAATACAATAACCTTTTTCGCTTCTTCTCAGTAAATTTGCATTACCTATTAAATCTTTTGGAGGTTGAGAAACTAATTTTCCAAATATTGTTCCAGAATTAATTATAACCATTATACCTTTACTTATAATAACTGTCATAGGTTTTAATATAATATCAATATCCCATTCATATTTTGCTGGTATGGGAATCCATTTATTCTCTTCATAGACAAATATTAAAGGTTTTCTTTCTATACCACCGTTATTAATACCTGATAAATTAATTTCTTGTCTATTATATATTCCCTTTTCTGTAAGTTTTAAACCATACAAACTATTCTTTTTTCCTTCATTATCAAATCCTTCAACATTCTCTAAATCATCTAGATTTAAAGCATACTTATGTAGAGGTTGAATTGTAGAAGATATCATATGCTCCGCATCATCCGATCCAAAAATATCTACAGACATTTTAATAGAGAAAAAATGATATCTTGAATACTTTTGCCACTGTTTAATTCTTTTAAAACATATAAACACCAATGTCCACAAATTACTGTGTTAGGATCTTGTGTTTGATCTGTAGAATATTGTATATCTCCTGGTTTTTCTCTAAGATAATCAATCAATTAATTCTAAAGGAGGTTGAATTCCATAACTATCAAAATTAATCTTATTATTATCCTTTTTATACCACGCAACCCAATGAGTTCCTTTTGTTTCATCGGTCAAATCTCCATCTAAATTCATTATTCCACATTCTTTTTTTCTGGGTTTTTTAGGTAATTCTGTTCTTATAAAAACTCCTCTGAAATTAGGAATTTTTAACTTCTTAACAGCATCTAGTAATTGAAAATTAGAAAGAGGTTCATTAGGTAAATTTAGATTTCCTACTTGTATAACTGACATTTTTATGTTTATAAAATAGACAATGTCTGCAGAACTTTATTGTGTAAAATGTAAAAAGAAAACAGATACTTTAGATTTAATACAAACTAAAAGTAAAAATAATAGAAATATGTTAAGAGGAAAATGTGTTGTTTGTGGTACTATGAAAAATAAATTTATTAAAGCTTCTGAATTGACTGGAAGAAACTTAAATAGTATAATAAATAAACTTCCAATTGAATTACATTTACCAGGACATAATTTTACAGGACCTGGAACTAATTTAAAGAAAAGGTTAAAAGATCCTTTTAGAAATCCTCCAGATTTTACACCTCAGGAATGGAGTCAACCAAATAATAGAGTAGATGAAGCTGCTATGCATCATGATATTTGTTATTTACAAAATGAAGATAAGTAAACTAGAAATGAAGTTTGTGATAAAAAGATGTTACAAGATCTAAATATTTATAATCCTACTTTAAGAGAAACAATAGATAAAGGAATTGTTGGTAATATTATTAAAGCTAAAGTGGCATTGGGAATGGGGAATTTTTAGTATAAAAAATGGAACAATTAATTTCTGACTTTATAAATAAAATTAAAGATTATATATCTGATGAAAAAATAAATAAATTTAAGAAAGTTGTTAGACATTTTGAGAAAGTAAATGGTTTGAAATTAAATATTGAGTGGGAAGATGTTTTACCCAACAATGAAAAAGAAGTAAAAAATAGAATTAAAATGATTCCAAAAGATTTAGAACAAAGATTATATGAAATATTTGATATGGAAGAAGTTAAATTTAAAATTAATAATGAAAGTTCAGAAGATGAAATTGTTGATACGTGTTTAACAAATATTAAACCATTTAGATGATATTGAAAAAAGAAATAAAGGTTATTATTTTAATCTTGGATATTTATTAAGTATCCTTAAATCTAAATATAATAGTGAGAAAGAGTTTCTGACTTTTACTAAAGAAAAAGTAAATAGAAGTAAATCAGCTATTAATAATTATAAAAGATTTTATAATAGTTGTAATCAGTATGCAATTTTATTAAATTGCAATTTATCATATAGAGAGATAATAAAAAATTTATCTGAAATAAAAAAATATTCTTGATCACCGCGGTGGTTAAAATTAATTATTTTTTTAGTTAAAAAAATTAAATAATAAAATAAAATAATAAAATAAATAGAATAATTATTATAAAAATTATATAAACACAATTTAATTTCGTATTTTGAAATTATAAGATTTTATTTTTTTTATCTATTTCATTATATGTTTTTATTAAATTCTTGTTATCCCACTTCCTCTTGCTAAAATATTATTTAATAACATTTTTGATTCAGGAGTTAATTTATTTGTTGTTTCTGGTTGTTGAGATGGAAAGATTTTATTGATAACTTTTTCACTAGCTTTATTACCTAATTCTGTTGCAGCTTTTTTACCAACATTTATAGCTACTTCTTTTGCTGTATCTTTTACAACTTGTGAAGTAATAGTAGATAATAAACTATAAAAAAAATCCTTCACCTCTAAAATATTTTGTTTTATTTTTTCTTATTATAAAAGGCATTTTTAAATATTTAATTTAATTTCTAACTAGCCTGTTTCAGCATTGTTTGATACTCATTTTCATTTATTTCCTTTAGTGTATAAAGTTGATATGCTATATTCATCATTTCATCATTTACTCCTGTATTTCCTGCTTGTTTACTTGATAATAATGATGCAAATTTTTCTATCAATTTATTTGGATCAGATGATTGACTGCTAGATGGAGTAATTTCCTTAATAGATAATGGTCTAGTTTTCCATATGTCACTTATTATATTTTTCCATTTTGTTCCAGTACTAGAAGATGGTTTTTTATTAGGATCATAATCTACATACATGGCATTAGTAGCATATAATATATTTGCATGCTTTCTTTTATCATCTTCTGAATAATTTTGTGGATTCTTACGAGTTAGTAATTTCCATAAACCTGGAGTTCCTGTATATCTATTTTCATTTAAAATAATATCATTACCATCAATTTTTACTTCTTTATTACCAATATAAAATTTATTATCCGTAGAACGAATACCATATTTTGTATCTGCATTTTTTTTAATCTTCGTATATTTTTTGTAAATTTTCTACAGCTATTTTTCCATAACTAGATAACTTCTGCGGAGGTTGTTCTATAGCAATTTGTCTTTTATTTGGTAATTCTAAAGCTAATTGTTTAGGTATTTCACCAATCGCTTTCTGATTAATTTCAGCAGCTTTTTGTTGACTTTCTATTATCGGTGAAAATATTTTACTCATATCTCTTTTCATTTCAATATCCCCAATTCTTTCACTCAAATTATTTAGCTGAATATTTCTTTTTAACTGAATAAATTCATTAACTCTTTGTTCTCTTTTTTTCCGATCTGTGATATTTAATAAGAAAGACATTTTTACTACGTAAAAAAACACTGTTTATTTTCAATAAATAATTTTAATTTTTAATTTTATACTTAATTCTATTTTTTTGATTCTTCTAAAAAAACTTTTATTTTATTTATTAAATCCTGTTTTTCATTTGTATGATTCTCAAGATTTTTTGCTGTTGTTATACGATCGTGATGTTTAATAGCTTCTTTCATATCTCTAAAATTTAATTTCTTCTTCTAAAATAAATTTAAATTCTTCTTCAGATATTTTTCCATCTTCAAGTGCTTTGGAAATATGATTATAAATTGTATTAAGTTTTGATTCTGATAAAATTAATATCTGTCTGTGTTTATCAATTTTATGTTGTAATTTTTTATTTATAAATTTTATTATTACACTACCTGCGCCCATTCCTAATGCAGCAATTTCCATTCCTAAAACTATTGGAGCAGCGATAATTGTAGTCAATAATCCAACTCCAGCAACTCCTGTTCCTATTGAAGCAGTGGTTAAAATTGTGTCAGTGGTATTAAATGCTGATAAAACTTTTTTATATTTTTTTAATGTTTTTCTTCTATCTTCTTTATTTTTTTTTCAAAACAATTTTGTATATCTAATATTTTTTGTATTCTATAATTGTTAGCTTCTATTGGTTCAATTGGTGGTGCAGTGGGTAAAATAGGATATATTCTTTCTTTTACATCCATTTTAAAAAAGATTAAAATAACATATTTAGAACAGGAATCCTTTTAACTAAATCACCTAGAAATCCTTCACCATTATAAATATCTCCTTCTCTTGATAAATATAAACCGTTTCCGTATGATTCTAGTCCGTCACCGTGTATTGGATTTAAATAAAGACCTTTTCCATCAGATTCAATTTGACAAACACATCCTCCTCTTATTAAATATAATCCAGTACCAATTAATTTTTGTACACCACTGGATGCTAATCCAGTAAGTGCACCAATACCTAAAGATTTTGCTATAGTAGGAACAGCAGTTTTTAATAAAGGTAATACCATAGCAGCCAGTGCAGGAAGAAAACCTCTTTGTATTTTCATATTATATTTTATTTGTTTTTTACTTAAAGTAATATCAGCTCCTTTATTTTGAGAAAGTGCTTTTTCTAATTTATTTATCTGTCTTTTTGTTAAGGCTAAAACATCATTACCTACTTCTGTGATTCTAATAGTAACAGGAATATTATTCTTTAAGGCGTGTTGTATTTTATCTTTTTGAGTGTCAGAGATATTTAACTTTACTTGTTCGTATGTAGTCATTTTATAAGGTTTAAATTTCTCTTAAATGAAACCTTATAGTTATATTTTCACCTCTTAAATTTAAAGGTTGATTATTTTGATCAGTAATTGTTACATAAAAGTCTTTTATAGTTTTCATATTAACAGGTAAAAATACTAGGTTATGTGGTTTCTCAACAATTTTTCTACCTGGAGATACATTAGGAAAAAAGAATAAATAACTGGATTTCTTGATCCATTAATAAAACTTCCATTTATAATGTTTAGATGAATTAAAATGCTGTTTATATGCATAATATTTACAATATTTTCTGATTCGTGAGTACCAGATTCATATATTTTATTTTGAAATCCTAATAAATTAGCTAATGTATTCTTCTCTAAAAAACTTACTTTATATCCTGTTTTAATAGTTAATATAGATTTTAGAGTTTGAATATTTGGTTCAATTGTTATACCAAAATCTCCTTTCTGAGAATTTCCGGAATCTTTATTTTTCTTAACCAGAACTGGGTTTATCAAACTTTGAAATGTTGAATTTAAAGCTTCAAGTCCATAAGCACCTTCGGGTATTCATATTTTATCCATGTTTTTCCATTATCTTTAGAATATTCAAACAGATTGTTATCTTTATCACTATTAGGAAATGAATAGTAAGTTTCCAGATTTACTAAAGCAATCTCATAATGTTTATCATTATCAAGTTCTAATGGTGAATTAAATGCAGTATTAAATTTTGTTTTATTACTGGAGACAATAAATTGATGTGAGAATTTAGGTCTGGTGTTTTTTTCTATTTTACTATTTACTTTTAATATTTCTTCCAATTTGAGAACCACTGTAAAAAATTATAATATGAGAACCACTGTAAAAAATTATAATATGAGAACCACTGAAAAAATTATAATTTGAGAACCACTGTAAAAATTATAATATGAGAACCACTGTAAAAAATTATAATTTGAGAACCATTGTAAAAAAATTATAATTTGAGAACCACTGTAAAAAATTATAATTTGAGAACCACTGTAAAATATTATATGAGAACCACTGTGAAAAATTATAATAAGAGAACCACTGTAAAAAATTATAATTTGAGAACCACTGTAAAAATTATAATATGAGAATGATCTGTTCTGAAATATTTTATAATTTAAGATACATCTGAAATAAAAAAAAAAGTGCAAAAGGTCTGTTCCTGTACACCGTGTTTCAAACTCACTCTCTTAGTATGTCGGTTACCCGAGTACTTTTAAGTGCACCACTCCGACATACTAAGAGAGTGAGTAGGTGTGGAAGCATGATGGGATCTCACCGAAATGAAATGTGAGAAGCCCTAGAGGTAACCTAATCCGCATTTCTCACATATGGTATAATCATGAAGCACCCGGGTAAAGTGCACACTTCATGAGATATACCACTGTGATGATGGAAGGAGGCCCACTAAAACCACACACGATGGACAGTCACAGACACAGAATTAATACAGATCCAAATAACTTATATGGTGATGTTAAAGCAAAATGTTATTTTTAATGGTTTTGTAATTATAGATAAACTTACTTTGAATCTCCATAAAAAATAATTCCTATACATTAAACAGCTTGTTCGTAAGTAAAAAATGTGTGTAATAGTTGATATAATATTTTGGTTGCATTGAAATATTTTTAATTAGTCGCATGGTATTGTTGGTTCGAATATTTTAATAAAATTATTTCCCTCTGAACTAATAAGGGGAAACAACAATTTAAAAGATAATTAATTTTGGTTGTTTCCCTTTAAATACTAAAATCAACAATTAAATCGAGAAATACTTTTGGTTGTGATATCTATTATTATATCAGTATTTCACATTCATCATTACAAAATATCATTTCAGGGATTGCCGATTGTGTTTGGTGGAGTTCGCTATTATTATTATTTCATATTATTATATTATTATTTTATTATATTATTTTATTATATTATATATAAACTTTTTAAAAATATTTTTAACGTACTTTAGTATAGTATCATGTGGGTAATTAGCAAACATGCCTTTTTAAAAATAATAATTTTTTCGAGGGGGGACACGAATAATATTTTTAAAATTTGTTTAAATGCAAGTGTTAGTAGTATAAGTATAATTAGGAGGAGTAGCAAACATGCTTTTTTAAAATAATCATGTTTTTTCGAGGGAAATCGGACACAAATAAAAAACATGATTATTTTAAAAAAGCAAGTGTGCTGAACCCCTAATTTATACATACTACTGACAGACAGAGAGAGGGGGGGGGGGGGGGGCAGACAGACAAAGAAAGGGGGAGGGATAAAGTGACTTTAAAGGTAACACATAAAAAAAAACATTTTTTTTTTTTAAAAAGCTACAAGCCAAGTATAAACTGACCTCTCTTGATCTCATGAGGTATCTCACCAACCTTCCTCTCAGAACTGCTAATGTTTGACTGTCAAAGTCAGGCATACTAATACCTGCAAGGTCAGTTATAAATGATATAAAAGCAACTATCATATCAGCACCAACATAAGCTAACATTTCATTAATTAACAAACCAACATCAACAACCACAACATCATCAACTACCACATCAGCTATCAACAACTATTTCAGACTGTAACAAGGGTCAAAATTTGTATTATCACATGGGGTAGAAAATTCCCTTTAATCCCTTTAGTGGAAACCCTGGGATACAAATGGAATAACACAGGGAAAGAACATCAGACAGGAGCAACAAGAAGAAACAATAATAACAGGGAAAGAACATCAGACAGAAGCAACAAGAAGAAACAATAATAACACAGGGAAAGAACATCAGACAGAAGCAACAAGAAGAAACAATAATTACACATGGAAAGAACATCAGACAGAAGCAACAAGAAGAAACAATAATAACACAGGGAAAGAACATCAGACAGAAGCAACAAGAAGAAACAATAATAACACAGGGAAAGAACATCAGACAGAAGCAACAAGAAGAAACAATAATAACAGGGAAAGAACATCAGACAGAAGCAACAAGAAGAAACAATAATAACACAGGGAAAGAACATCAGACAGGAGCAACAAGAAGAAACAATAATAACACAGGGAAAGTCAGGATATCATTTGACAAAAGAACAGATAAGTTTCAGAAGAAAGAGAAACTGCACAGACGCAATCTTCACACTTGGGGGGATGGAATTGTAAGACAAGTAGCTTCAACAAGAGCTGGAGTTGAAACAGAAGCAGTTAATACTAATGTGATTTCAGAAAGTCCCGCCTAAAGATTATGTGATTATGTACTTGGTGTTTAAACCCTTGAAAATTGTAAAGTCCATTCCTGAGCATCTGAGGTTAAATTCTGATGAAATAAATAAAAGTAGGCATTATGAAGCACTGCAACTTTCATTAAGCCAGATATCACAGACAATATTTTGACCTATGACCTAACAGTAACCAAACTTTTACAGACTATTTCTTAGAGGTGCACAATACTTTCCAAACGTGGGTCGACTCAGCAAATGATAAAAATGATTGCAAACTGCTGTTGGAGCTACTTTTGTGAAATAAGAAGTTTAAAGTCCCTCCCAAGACTAATGACAACATTTCTAAGGGAAAACTAATGACAACATTTCTAAGGAAAAAAGCCTGTAGCACTAAACCATTTGGAACAACTTGGCGAAAACTACTTTTCAGCACATATTGATAATTTTGTTGGTAACATAATTCAGAGTGGCATCAATATAGAGACACTTCTGATAACATTCAAGAACATACAAGGGTACAAATAACATACAGATATTTTTCTTTAGACAATAAAATCTTGTTCATGTTTATTACCTCATAGTTTGTTATCTATTTCTCATAGTTCCAAGTGGCTATGTTCATCGGTTGTTTAATTAGTTTGAAAGGATCAAACAATCACTATCATACTTGGCGGGGGCATTCGTTATAAATTAATACCAGAAGAAAAGAATGTCGGAAGGGTTAACTGTGTATCTTGATATTCTCCACTTGAATTAATATTGATATCTAATTACCCTTTTCCTACTCCTGTGGATACAAGTGCAGCTAGTTTCTTTTTATTGTACGAGCCACTTGTTGCTGTTTACTTGGTTACCCAGGACTGTGGGATAAACATAGCTCAAATATAAGTCCAGTTTCTCACGTGGCTGCGCAGTGTTAGGTTGGCGACACAACAGTGAGACATAATTGACAACAAAGAGAGAGGAATGACAACAGTGAGGAATCACAAATGTGAGGCAGTAATGACACACAAAATTCCTGACCTGTGACACTGTCCACCAAAACCTGCCACTTAGGAAGCTCCTGCTCCAGGTGTCGGATCTCTCGTTTATTTCGTCGGTCCACCAGTGCAAGTTCTGTTCACAGACACAGCCATGTTTAATTTCAAGTATGCCTGATTCATAGGAATCAACGTTACACACATATACACATTTCTCTCTATCTCTCCTTTCTTTTCCCTCTCTCAGCACAGAACCCATGCTACACACACATTCATGTTTCTCTCTTTCTCTCTCTCTCTCTTTTCTTGTCAATCTCTCAGAATAGAAACCATGCTGATTCACACAGCTGTTTTTCTCTCTCTCTCTCTCAGCACAGGATCCATGCTCCTACACACACATCCATATCTCTCTCTTCTTTCTTGTCCTTCTCTCAGCCCACAATTCATACTGTACACACACCCCCCCCTCTCTCTCTCTCTCTCTCTCTCTCTCTCTGTCTCTCTCTCTCTCTCTCTCTCTCTCTCTCTCTCTCTCTCTCTCTCTCTCATGCATTTTAGATAACAGGCAGTGGTACTCTGAAAAACAAGTGCTTAAAAGGGCCGAATGTCAGACGGGCCTGCGTGCCCAATTTGTAACCCTTTGAAAATAAAGTTTGTTCGTTCGTTCTCTCGCTCTCTCTCTCTCTTTCTCTCTCTCTCTCCATGTTTCTCTCACTGTCTCCTTTCATATCCCTCTCAGCTCCACACATATCCACAATTCTCTCCCCCTCTCAGCACAGAATCCATGCAGCTCCACACATATCCACAATTCTCTCCCTCTCTCAGCACAGAATCCATGCTAAGCACATATCTCCATTCTCCAACCCTTCCCCCCTTTTCTTGTCCCTCTCTAACCAGAGGACCCATGTAGTAATGTTCAATGTACCAATACTCTATGCACCAACGATCAATGTACTAATGTTCTGTGTATCAATGTTCAATGTACTAATGTTCTGTGTATCAATGTTCAATGTACTAATGTTCTGTGTATCAATGTTCAATGTACTAATGTTCTGTGTATGAATGTTCAATGTACTAATGTTCTGTATATAAATGTTTAATGTACTAATGTTCTGTATATGAATGTTTAATGTACTAATGTTTTGTATATGAATGTTTAATGTACTAATGTTCTGTATATAAATGTTCAATGTACTAATGTTCTGTTTATGAATGTTTAATGTACTAATGTTCTGTATATGAATGTTTAATGTACTAATGTTCTGTATATGAATGTTTAATGTACTAATGTTCTGTATATGAATGTTTAATGTACTAATGTTTTGTATATGAATGTTTAATGTACTAATGTTCTGTTTATGAATGTTTAATGTACTAATGTTTTGTATATGAATGTTTAATGTACTAATATTCTGTATATGAATGTTCAATGTACTAATGTTCTGTGTATCAATGTTCAATGTACTAATGTTCAGTATATGAATGTTCAATGTACTAATGTTCTGTATATGAATGTTTAATGTACTAATGTTCTGTATATGAATGTTTAATGTACTAATGTTTTGTATATGAATGTTCAATGTACTAATGTTCTGTATATGAATGTTCAATGTACTAATGTTCTGTGTATCAATGTTCAATGTACTAATGTTCTGTCTATCAATGTTCAATGTACTAATGTTCTGTGTATCAATGTTCAATGTACTAATGTTTTGTATATGAATGTTCAATGTACTAATGTTCTGTATATGAATGTTCAATGTACTAATGATCTGTATATGAATGTTTAATGTACTAATGTTCTGTATATGAATGTTTAATGTACTAATGTTTTGTATATGAATGTTCAATGTACTAATGTTCTGTATATGAAAGTTCAATGTACTAATGTTCTGTATATGAATGTTCAATGTACTAATGTTCTGCATATGAATGTTTAATGTACTAATGTTCTGTATATGAATGTTCAATGTACTAATGTTCTGTATATGAATGTTTAATGTACTAATGTTCTGTATATGAATGTTCAATGTACTAATGTTCTGTGTATGAATGTTCAATGTACTTACACTCTGTGTATCAATGTTCAATGTAGTAATGTTCTGTGTACTAATGTTTGACATATTAATGTTCTGTTAACTAATGTTATGTGTATTATTGTTCTGAGTACCAATGTTTAACATACTTATGTTCAATGTACCAATGTTCAACATACTTATGTTCAATGTACCAATGTTCAACATACTTATGTTCAATGTACCAATGTTCAACATACTTATGTTCAATGTACCAATGTTCAACATACTTATGTTCAATGTACCAATGTTCAACATACTTATGTTCAATGTACCAATGTTCAACATACTTATGTTCAATGTACTAATGTTCAATACAAGAAGATTTCAGCCTACAGGCCCATCCTAGGGGTCACCAGTAGCCTTTAATGAATGCCTCAGCTTGAGACAACTGAACAGCAAAGTTAGTTTAGCACACAACAGTTCTGTATACTAATGTTCAATGCAATAATGCTTAGTGTACCAATGTTTAATGCATCAATGTTCTGTATACTAATGTTCAATGTATCAATGTTATGTATACCAATGTTCAATGTATCAATGTTCTGTTTACCAAAGTTCAATGTATCAATGTTCTATATACCAATGTTCAATGTATCAATGTTCTGTTTACCAAAGTTCAATGTATCAATGTTCTATATACCAAAGTTCAATGTTCTATATACCAATGTTCAATGTATCAATGTTCTGTATACCAATGTTTAATGTATCAATGTTCTGTTTACCAATGTTCAATGTATCAATGTTCTATATACCAATGTTCAATGTATCAATGTTCTATATACCAATGTTCAATGTATCAATGTTCTGTATAACAATGTTCAATGTATCAATGTTCTATATACCAATGTTCAATGTATTAATGTTCTGTATACCAATGTTCAATCAATGTTCTCTATACAAATATTCAATGCATCAATGTTATGTATACCAATGTTCAATGTTCTGTTTACAAATTTTTAATGTATCAATGTTCTATATACTAATGTTCAATGTATCAATGTTCTGTTTACCAATGTTCAATGTATTAATGTTCTGTATACCAATGTTCAATCAATGTTCTCTATACCAATATTTAATGCATCAATGTTCTGTATACCAATGTTCAATGTATCAATGTTCTGTATAATAATGTTCAAAGTATCAAAGTTCTCAATGTTCTGTATGCCGATGCTCAATATACTAATGTTCTGTGTACCAAAGTACAGATGTCAAATTAAGACAGATGTCCCATTAAGATACATACGTCACACACACACAAAAACACAGATATCACACAAATAATGTCACATTAAGACACAATGTCACATTAGGCCACAAATGTCACATTAAGACACACACGTCACATTAAGACCTAGGTGTTACATTAGGACAAACATGTCACTTTAAGAATTGGATGCCACACTATGACACAGATGTCACATTAAGACACAGATGTCAGATTAAGACACATATGTCACATTAGGACATAGGTGTCACATTAGGACACAGATGTCACTTTAAGAAATAGACGTCACACTATGACACAGATATCACATTAAGACACATAAGTCACATTAAGACATAGGTGTCACATTAGGACACAGATGTCACATTAAGACACATACATCACATTAAGACATAGGTGTCACATAAGGACACATATGTCACTTTAAGAAATAGATGCCACACTATGACACAGATGTCACATTAAGACACATACGTCACATTAAGACCTAGGTGTCACATTAGGACAGATATGTCACTTTAAGAAATAGATGCCACACTATGACACAGATGTCACATTAAGACACATATGTCACATTAAGACATAGGTGTCACATTAAGATACAGATTTAATAATAAGACACAGATGTCAAATTAAGACAAAAATATTACCATGTTCAATGGCTTCATCTGTTTCTTCACTGGGAAAAACAGAATTAGGACACATATTAAAGGTACTGCAACTTGTTTATAATTGGACCTACAGTTTATATATAAAAGGTACTGTAACATATTTACTAGTGGTACTACAGCTTATATATCAGTGGTGCTACAGCTTATATATCAGTGGTACTGCAGCTTATATATCAGTGGTACTACAACTTTTTTATCAGTGGTACTACAGCTTACATATCAGTGGTGCTACAGCTTATATATCAGTGGTACTACAGCTTATATATCAGTGGTACTACAGCTTATATATCAGTGGTGCTTCAGCTTATATATCAGTGGTACTACAACTTATATATCAGTGGTACTACAGCTTATATATCAGTGGTACTACAGCTTATATATCAGTGGTGCTACAGCTTATATATCAGTGGTGCTACAGCTTAAAAATCAGTGGTACTACAGCTTATATATCAGTGGTGCTACAGCTTAAAAATCAGTGGTACTACAGCTTATATATCAGTGGTACTACAGCTTATATATCAGTGGTACTACAGCTTATATATCAGTGGTACTACAACTTATATATCAGTGGTACTACAGCTTATATATCAGTGGTGCTACAGCTTATATATCAGTGTTACTACAGCTTACATATCAGTGGTACTACAGCTTACATATCAGTGGTGCTACATCTTACATATCAGTGGTGCTACAGCTTACATATCAGTGGTATTACATCTTACATATCAGTGGTATTACAGCTTACATATCAGTGGTACTACAGCTTATATATCAGTGGTACTACAGCTTACATATCAGTGGTACTACAGCTTATATATCAGTGGTGCTACAGCTTATATATCAGTGGTGCTACAGCTTATATATCAGTGGTGCTACAGCTTATTAATCAGTGGTGCTACAGCTTAAAAATCAGTTGTACTACAGCTTATATATCAGTGGTACTACAGCTTACATATCAGTGGTACTACAGCTTATATATCAGTGGTGCTTCAGCTTATATATCAGTGGTACTACAGCTTATATATCAGTGGTGCTACAGCTTGAAAATCAGTGGTACTACAGCTTATATATCAGTGGTACTACAGCTTATATATCAGTGGTACTACAGCTTATATATCAGTGGTACTACAGCTTATATATCAGTGGTGCTACAGCTTATATATCAGTGGTGCTACAGCTTATATATCAGTGGTGCTACATCTTTTACATTAGTGGTACTACAGCTTATATATCAGTGGTGCTACAGCTTATATATCAGTGGTTCTACAGCTTATATATCAGTGGTACTACAGCTTATAATCAGTGGTACTCCAGCTTATATATCAGTGGCACTACAGCTTATATATCAGTGGTGTTACAGCTTATATATCAGTGGTACTACAGCTTATATATCAGTGGTGTTACAGCTTATATATCAGTGGTACTACAGCTTATATATCAGTGGTGCTACAGCTTATATATCAGTGGAACTACAGCTTATATATCAGTGGTGCTACAGCTTACATATCAGTTGTACTACAGCTTACATATCAGTGGTGCTACAGCTTACAAATCAGTGGTGCTACAGCTTATATATCAGTGGTACTACAGCTTATAGATCAGTGGTGCTACAGCTTTTATATCAGTGGTACTACAGCTTATATATCAGTGGTACTACAGCTTATATATCGTGGTGCTACAGCTTATATATCAGTGGTGCTACAGCTTATATATCAGTGGTGCTACAGCTTTTATATCAGTGGTGCTACAGCTTATATATCAGTGGTACTACAGCTTATATATCAGTGGTGCTACAGCTTTAATATCAGTGGTGCTACAGCTTATACATCAGTGGCACTACAGCTTATATATCAGTGGTACTACAGCTTATATATCAGTGGTGCTACAGCTTATATATCAGTGGTGCTACAGCTTTTACATTTGTGGTACTACAGCTTATATATCAGTGGTACTACAGCTTATATATCAGTGGTGCTACAGCTTATATATCAGTGGTGCTACAGCTTATATATCAGTGGTACTACAGCTTATATATCAGTAGTGCTACAGCTTATATATCAGTAGTGCTACAGCTTTTACATTAGTGGTACTACAGCTTATATATCAGTGGCACTACAGCTTTTACATTAGTGGCACTACAGCTTACATATCAGTGGTACTACAGCTTATATATCAGTGGTACTACAGCTTATATATCAGTGGTACTACAGCTTATATATCAGTGGTACTACAGCTTATATATCAGTGGTGCTACAGCTTATATATCAGTGGTGCTACAGCTAATATATCAGTGGTACTACAGCTTATATATCAGTGGTACTACAGCTTATATATCAGTGGTACTACAGCTTATATATCAGTGGTACTACAGCTTATATATCAGTGGCACTACAGCTTATATATCAGTGGTACTACAGCTTACTTATCAGTGGTACTACAGCTTATATATCAGTGGTGCTACAGCTTATATTTCAGTGGTACTACAGCTTATATATCAGTGTTACTACAGCTTATATATCAGTGGTACTACAGCTTATATATCAGTGGTACTACAGCTTATATATCAGTGGTACTACATCTTATATATCAGTGGTGCTACAGCTTAAATATCAGTAGTGTTACAGCTTATACATCAGTGGCACTACAGCTTATATATCAGTGGTACTACAGCTTATATATCAGTGGTGCTACAGCTTTTACATTTTTGGTCATACAGCTTATATATCAGTGGTACTACAGCTTATATATCAGTGGTACTACAGCTTATATATCAGTGGTGCTACAGCTTAAATATCAGTGGTGCTACAGCTTATATATCAGTGGTACTACAGCTTATATATCAGTGGTACTACAGCTTATATATCAGTGGTGCTACAGCTTTTACATTAGTGGTACTACAGCTTATATATCAGTTGTACTACAGCTTTTACATTAGTGGTACTACAGCTTACATATCAGTGGTACTACAGCTTATATATCAGTGGTACTACAGCTTATATATCAGTGGTACTACAGCTTATATATCAGTGGTGCTACAGCTTATATATCAGTGGTCCTACAGCTTATATATCAGTGGTACTACAGCTTATATATCAGTGGTACTACAGCTTATATGTCAGTGGTACTACAGCTTATATATCAGTGGCACTACAGCTTATATATCAGTGGTACTACAGCTTACTTATCAGTGGTACTACAGCTTATATATCAGTGGTACTACAGCTTATTTATCTGTGGTACTACAGCTTATAAATCAGTGGTACTACAGGTTATATATCAGTGGTACTACAACTTATACATCAGTGGTGCTACAGCTTATATATCAGTGGTACTACAGCTTATATATCAGTGGTGCTACAGCTTATATATCAGTGGTGCTACAGCTTATATATCAGTGGTACTACAGCTTATATATCAGTGGTGCTACAGCTTATATATCAGTGGTACTACAGCTTATATATCAGTGGTACTACAGCTTACATATCAGTGGTACTACAGCTTACATATCAGTGGTGCTACAGCTTACATATCAGTGGTGCTACAGCTTACATATCAGTTATAAATCAGTGGTACTTTTATATTAGTGCTACTGGCAAACGAAAGAAGAAGATATTAGTGCTAATGAGAGAAACAGAGATCTTGTTGTGTGCAATATATGGGTATATGAAAGGGAAGTTCATTATTGAACGTAAACACTTGGTGCGGTGCAGGACACATTGACCGCAATGTAGAGAGAGAGTGAGTGACCGTGGACTCTACGACGCTGTGTAGAAGGCCTGTTCTAATCTGGATGGTTCCAGGCTGGTCCTGCATACCTGTGTTACGCTGGCGGTAGGTGTACTGGCTGTCTGTGAGTGTTGTTACAGTGGCAGCGCCAGCGTGACAGACGCTCGTGTGGTGAGATCATTTAGATCTCAATTACGTGTCAGGCCGCAGACAGAAAGGTCTGGACAAGTTTCACAATGTACTGTGCATCGGCCTGTATGATTCTGCTATGACAGTGTACCCAAGGGATGGGTGTCATAGAGGTAGACACATAATCACGAGTAGTCAGTTTGCACGAGCAGGTAATGTTTGCTCGTAGTTGACCACGAGACAGGGTGGCAGTAGAAGTAGCCCAGAGCGTCCGTAGTGTGTGTTGCCTTGCCAGTAGGAATGACTGTGGCGGTGTAACGTTTTATTCTCGTGATGCCTTTCATTGTTTTGGTGTTGAAATTAGAACTACCTTAAATCTGCTTGGACGTAGCAACATTTGTATTCCGGCGTCTTTCATGTGCTCTTTGGTCAGAAGTATTGGCAATGGGGGCCGAAGCCTGACCCGGAGAATTCATAATTGGACACTGAAGCCTGGCCTGGAGAATTCGTCATTGGGAACCAAAGCCTTGCCAGCAGAATTAGTCGCTGGGAGGAGATATCATCGCCTGTGTCATCGAAGTCAACCCGTGTTGCGTCACTGAGATCAAGGTCGTCAAGCGGAGACCTCGCAGCGGAGACCTGGACTTTGCTGTGATCTTTTTCTTCGAGGTGAAGCCAGGAAACCACTTACCTCAAGTCAATGAACTGTGGGACATGTAGTGACACTGAAGGAGATCAAATATGGTTTTGCAAGGATGGATTCTAACAGTTTGTCATGTTTCTAACCGTGTTTAATGAAGAGTGCTGATCAGCTGGTATTAACAGTTGCGGTATTCCTGTGAGTGGAGCGATCGATTTTCGCTAGGCTGCTACTGAGTGTGAATTTGAGGACTGATTCACCGTCATTGTTTGGATGCTGTATACATGAGGTTATGTACTTTATGGTTAACTTTCGGATTCATAAGTTTATAGCATTGTTCGCTACATTATTTTGCTTGGTAGCCCTATTTTCTCACGTCTTTTGATGTGTTTTTCACCGTCAAAGAAGTGTATTTATGTCGTCCAGTTGCGTTTAGTCTACGTGAATATCCTAAAGGTTTTCATAGCATCTTGTCATACCACGTAAAAATACAGACATGTCATTTAGCGACTTCGTTCCTAGGTCTGGAGACGGAACAGGTGGTCAGAGTTACGGAGGCTAAAACGGGAATGCTGTCAGTAGGATTGCCAGAATGGACGGTGGTGCGGCTAATGTGTTTCTTGAATCAGAAGTTGTGCGACTATGGTGCACGTAGTTGACAGGGGTATCTGTAAGGGCACAGAACTTGCCAGGAACCTTATGGGTGTTAACTAGCATGGAGTGTGATGTGGGGAAAGTATCGGATGCTGACTGACAGAATGGTAGTCAGCGATACTTCAGTGACTAGGTAGCAGACTTTGGTCTGGATTTCTTTTTGGCTTTATTTTTCACCGTATGGTGCATCTACCTTAAACCCTCAGATTGATGGGTCCGTTGGAGGGGCAGCCATCAGGGGGTGGTCACTTTACATCACATAGGTGTATCTGTGCGGTCGGGTGTCAGTTGCCCGTAGCAGGCACATGGCACATAGTTCGCTTGGGTTTTCGTCCACGTTTGGAAAGACTGCCGAGGGGAATTTCCGGGAAGGCAGTAGAAGTCAGTATTTCGTCGATCACTGGTTATCATTGGTGTGTTTTTCCATGATAGTCCATTGTTTGGATGACATTCTTCGGTTTCATGAGGACATCGAAGAATAAGGGTTGAGAAGTTTATTGGAGTGCATCCAGTCATTTGGATTGACAGTCAGAGTACCCAATGTAGAGGTTGTAGTACAGGAAGTGACGTTCCTGGGTCATGTTATAGGCAGAGGGGTCAGAAAACCCGTTCAAACCAATGTTCACAAGTTTCTGAACCTGCCTGTCCCTAAGTACATAAAGCAAGTTCGGGCATTGCTAGTTTTGAGTAATTTCTACGCTAAATTCATTCCCCATTATGCTACCATCACGTATATGTGGTCTGATCTGACTAAGAAGGGCATGTCAGACAAGATATGGTGAAACCAACAATATGCCAAGTCCTTGAGACGATTACAAAGTGCATTCAGTCATTTGCCATTGTTGTGTTTGCCTAATTTAAGTGTACTCTTTGATATTTCATGTGATGCTTCTGATGTGGTAGTGGCCAGTGTCCTGGTAAATGAGTTCCCAGGTACCCTGAATCCAGTCCTGTATGTCAGTAGGCCACTGTCCCCAATGGAGACACGCTACAGTGTGATGGAACGAGAGTGCCTGTCTTATGTGTGAAATATATTGTTCATATTGGGCATGTTATGTAAATTATGAACTACCATGTGTTGAGCACGGCAGTCCTGTCTCGAGCAAACAGAAACAGATGGTATCTGTTTGCTGGAGGAAGGGGGGAATATGCTGTTGTGTGCAATATATGGGTATATGAAAGGGAAGTTCATTATTGAACGTAAACACTTGGTGCGGTGCAGGACACATTGACCGCAATGTAGAGAGAGAGAGAGTGAGTGACCGTGGACTCTACGACGCTGTGTAGAAGGCCTGTTCTAATCTGGATGGTTCCAGGCTGGTCCTGCATACCTGTGTTACGCTGGCGGTAGGTGTACGGGTTGTCTGTGAGTGTTGTTACAGTGGCAGCGCCAGCGTGACAGACGCTCGTGTGGTGAGATCATTTAGATCTCAATTACGTGTCAGGCCGCAGACAGAAAGGTCTGGACAAGTTTCACAATGTACTGTGCATCGGCCTGTATGATTCTGCTATGACAGTGTACCCAAGGGATGGGTGTCATAGAGGTAGACACATAATCACGAGTAGTCAGTTTGCACGAGCAGGTAATGTTTGCTCGTAGTTGACCACGGGACAGGGTGGCAGTAGAAGTAGCCCAGAGCGTCCGTAGTGTGTGTTGCCTTGCCAGTAGGAATGACTGTGGCGGTGTAACGTTTTATTCTCGTGATGCCTTTCATTGTTTTCGTGTTGAAATTAGAAATACATTAATTCTGTTTGACGTTCAACATGTATCCGGCGTCCTTTATTGCTGTTGGGCGGGAATGGTGACTTGTTACCGTAACACTATTTAGCATACCATGGATACTTGGCAAGTGTGCGTTGTATCAAGCGAACATTCGCACTCGTCAGATCTAGCTGACAGAAACAAAGATCTAGATGACAGAAATTGAGAGATATAGGCAATAGAAACTGAGAGATCTAGGCAACAGAAACTGAGATCTAGGTGACAGAAACTGAGAGATCTAGTGACAGAAACTGAGAGATCTTTGTGACAGAATCTGAGAGATCTAGGTGACAGAAACAGAGATCTAGGTGACAGAAACTGAGAGATCTATGTGACAGAATAAGAGAGATCTAGGTGACAGAACCTGAGAGACCTAGATGATAGAATTTGAGAGATCAAGGTGACTGTTTAAGAGATCTAGATGACTGTCTGAGAGATCTATCTGACAGATTGAGAGATCTAGGTGACCGTCTGAGAGATCTAGGTGATTGTCTGAGAGATCTAGGTGACTGTCTGAGAGATCGAGGTGATTGTCTGAGAGATCTAGGTGACCATCTGAGAGATGTAAGTGACAGTCTGAGAGATCTAGGTGACAGTCTGAGAGATCTAGGTGACCGCCTGAGAGATCTAGGTGACTGTCTGAGAGATCTAGGTGACCGTCTGAGAGATCTAGGTGACTGTCTGAGAGATCTAGGTGACTGTCTGAGAGATCTAGGTGACTGTCTGAGAGATCTAGGTGACTGAGAGATCTAGGTGACCATCTGAGAGATCTAGGTGACTGTCTGAGATATCTAGATGACCGTCTGAGATATCTAGATGACCGTCTGAGAGATCTAGGTGACCATCTGAGAGATCTAGGTGACTGTCTGAGAGATCTAGGTGACCGTCTGAGAGATCTAGGTGACCGTCTGACAGATCTAGGTGACCGTCTGAGAGATCTAGGTGACCGCCTGAGAGATCAAGGTGACCGCCTGAGATATCTAGGTGACAGTCTTAGAGATCTAGGTGACAGTCTTAGAGATCTAGGTGACCGTCTGAGAGATCTAGGTGACTGTTTTAGAGATCTGGGTGACCATCTGAGAGATCTAGGTGACCGTCTGAGAGATCTAGGTGACCGTCTGAGAGATCTAGGTGACCGTCTGAGAGATCTAGGTGACCGTCTGAGATATCTAGGTGACCGTCTGAGAGATCTAGGTGACCGTCTGAGTGATCTAGGTGACCGTCTGAGAGATCTAGGTGACCATCTGAGAGATCTAGGTGACCATCTGAGAGATCTAGGTGACCGTCTGAGAGATCTAGGTGACCGTCTGAGAGATCTAGGTGACTGTCTGAGAGATCTAGGTGACTGTCTGAGAGATCTAGGTGACTGTCTGAGAGATCTAGGTGACTGTCTGAGAGATCTAGGTGACCGTGTGAGAGATCTAGGTGACTGTGTGAGAGATCTAGGTGACTGTGTGAGAGATCTAGGTGACCGTCTGAGAGATCTAGGTGACCGTCTGAGAGATCTAGGTGACCGTCTGAGAGATCTAGGTGACATTGTGAGAGATCTAGGTGACTGTGTGAGAGATCTAGGTGACTGTGTGAGAGATCTAGGTGACTGTCTGAGAGATCTAGGTGACTGTCTGAGAGATCTAGGTGACTGTGTGAGAGATCCAGGTGACTGTCTGAGAGATCTAGGTGACTGTGTGAGAGATCTAGGTGACTGTGTGAGAGATCTAGGTGACTGTGTGAGAGATCTAGGTGACTGTGTGAGAGATCTAGGTGACCGTCTGAGAGATTTAGGTGACTGAGAGATCTAGGTGACTGTCTGAGAGATCTAGGTGCCCGTCTGAGAGATCTAGGTGACTGTCTGGGAGATCTAGGTGACCATCTGAGAGATCTAGGTGACCGTCTGAGAGATGTAGGTAACCATCTGAGAGATCTAGGTGACTGTCTGAGAGATTTAGGTGACAGAATCTGAGAGATCTAGGTGACCATCTGAGAGATCTAGGTGACAGAATCTGAGAGATCTAGGTGACCATCTGAGAGATCTTGGTGACAGAATCTGAGAGATAGGTGAAAGAGAGATTTAAGTGATAGAATCTGAGAGATCTAGCTGACAGAAACTGAAAGACTTAGATGACAGAAACTGAGAAATCTAGGTGGCAGAAACAGAGAGATCTAGATAACAGAAACAGAGAAATCTAGGCGACAGAGAGAGAACTAGATGACAAAAAGCGATAGATCCAGATGAGGGAAACTGAGAGAACTAGATGACAGAAAGTGAAGATCTAGCAGACACAAACTGAGGGTAGACTTGTGGATCAGTGACTCTCTAGCACCCAAACAATAATCATTGAATGGCAACACATTCATTACAAATATACAGTGATGTGATTACACAATACAAATATACAGTGATGTGATTACAACTGACTAAAGCTCTACAAATGAATGGTACTTACACACAGTGATCATCATTCATAAAGTCTTCAATGTCTGAGAGATTGAGGATATGATCCCCTAGTGGCATTGGTTGCACTGTCTGATCAGGCAGCAGGTGATACTGTTTCATCAATAGCCAGTGTGACTGCAATGTCTTTGCTGTTCGAGCGGGGTGAAATAGTTCTGGGTGCTGGGCCAGCAAGTTCTGGAATGTCTCTAATGTTGGCTGGCTGGTCTGAGGGTGAGTGCAGCACATGGTTGTTACATCAATGTCACCAACATGCCTCATCGTACATAAATGTCATGGTGTTAGCCACAAAACAGACACAACATGCTTGATCAAACATAAATGTAAGGGTGTTAGTCCCCCACCCCCCACACACATCATGCCTCATCATTCATAAATGTAATGGTGTTAGCAACAATATTAGCAACATATCCACACATCAACAACAATCCACTGACATTAGCAACATACCCACACATCAATAATAACCCACTGACATTAGTAACATACCCACACATCATCAACAACCCACTGACATTAGCACCATACCCTCACATCAACAACAACCCACTGACATTAGCAACATACCCACACATCAACAACAACCTACTGATATTATCAACATACCCACACAACAAAACCCACTGACATTAGCAACAGAGTCACACATCAACAAAACCCACTGACATTAGCAACATACCCACACATCAACAATAATCCACTGACATTAGCAACATACCCACACATCAACAATAACCCACTGACATTAGCAACATACCCACACATCAACAACAACCTACTGATATTATCAACATACCCACACATCAACAACAACCTACTGATATTATCAACATACCCACACATCAACAACAACCTACTGATATTATCAACATACCCACACATCAACAACAACCTACTGATATTATCAACATACCCACACAACAAAACCCACTGACATTAGCAACATACCCACACATCAACAAAACCCAATGACATTAGCAACATACCCACACATCAACAACAACCTACTGATATTATCAACATACCCACACAACAAAACCCACTGACATTAGCAACATACCCACACATCAACAAAACCCACTGACATTAGCAACATACCCACAAATCAACAATAATCCACTGACATTAGCAACATACCCACACATCAACAATAATCCACTGACATTAGCAACATACCCAAGCTATAGTCCCTAGTAACTTCTCCTCTGCTGTGCTGAACAAAGCTTTCCCTTGAATTGTAGCCACAGTGTCTGCATGAAGCTGTCTTGCTGCCTCCATGGCAATTCTGATGATATATAAACACCTGGTAAACAGCCACGCACATCAATGAAAACAGCTGGTGGTTAACTGCATTTTTCAGCAGACACAGCTGTGGCAAATAAGAGGATTATAAACAAAAAGAGCTGGCCAGTGACTGTCTGTATAAAGTGAAACAGGTGTGACCAATAACATGCATTAAAAAAAAACAGCTGGCCTGTAAAAGCATATGTAACCAGAAACAGCTGGCTAGTGACAGCATGTGTAAACAAAAACAGCTGGCTAGTGACAGCATGCGTAAACAAAAACAGCTGGCTAGTGACAGCATGCGTAAACAGAAACATCTGGCTAGTGACAGCATGTGTAACCAGAAACAGCTGGCTAGTGGCAGCATGTGTAAACAGAAACAGCTGGCTAGTGGCAGCATGTGTAAACAGAAACAGCTGGCTAGTGGCAGCATGTGTAAACAGAAACAGCTGGCTAGTGGCAGCATGTGTAAACAGAAACAGCTGGCTAGTGACAGCATGTGTAAACAGAAACAGCTGGCTAGTGGCAGCATGTGTAAACAGAAACAGCTGGCTAGTGGCGGCATGCATAAACAGAAACAGCTGGCTAGTGGCAGCATGCGTAAACAAAAACAGCTGGCTAGTGACAGCATGCGTAAACAGAAACAGCTGGCTAGTGGTAGCATACGTAAACAAAAACAGCTGGCTAGTGGCAGCATACATAAACAGAAACAGCTGGCTAGTGGCAGCATGCGTAAACAAAAACAGCTGGCTAGTGGCAGCATGTTGTATAAACAGAAACAGCTGGCTAGTGGCAGCATGTTGTATAAACTGAAACAACTGGCTAGTGACAACATGTATAAATAGAAACAGATGGCGAATGACACCATGTGTAAACAGAAACAGCTGGCTTGTGAATGCATTATAAACAGAAACAGTTAGCCAATGATGGCATGTGTAAACAGAAACAGCTGGCTAGTGACAGTGTTAATAAACAGCTGTTACTAGGCACAGCATGTATAAACAGAAAGAGCTGTGGCTAAATAAAGCAGGTATAAATAGAAACAGTTGGCTAATGGCAATGTAAATAAACAGAAAATGACAGAATGCATAAACATAAACAGCTACACATTAAAGAGCACTGGTAAAATTGCAGAACTCTGAGGTAGTCGCTGGACGATATTACATTGTTCCGAGGTCAATGTCTTCAAGCAAAAGGCAACCATGCCTGAATGCAGGACAGCTGCTATCTACTTCACAAACCATGAACAAACACCTTCTCTATGAATGCAGAAATTAAAATATCATATCTGACTCTTTTGTAGGTATTCTCAACATCAAGTGCAGCGACAACCGTCTCCTGTCTGTTCCTCTCATATCAAAAGCAAAAGTAGCTGCTAAAGATGAGGAGGGAGCACCCATGAAAATGCCCCAAGTGCTGTGATGTCAATTCTTGACTCAACATGTGGCAAACAGCATTATGTTTATTCCTATAAATAAACAGAGGGGGGAACCATTTGAAGCCGTTAAATATTATGAATTAATCAAGTAACAGAAAGTATTGTGAACGGCACTCATAGAAAGAAGTAGAAAGATAGAAGAACACACTAGACAACATAAAAATCGATAAACTATAGCTTTCGATTTTTATGTTGTCTAGTGTGTTCTTCTATCTTTCTACTTCTTTCTATGAGTGCCGTTCACAATACTTTCTGTTACTTGATTAATTCATAGCATTATGTTTATGTATGGTGCAGTGATGTTTGTGTGGCTAACACCTTTACATTGATTTACCATTAGGTGCATGCCATCACATTGTTATCAGACTTACTTGGACACAGATGAATCATAAAGCAGAGCATACCACCTCTCTTCTATTTCTCTCAGTGTAAACCTGCAGGAGAACTTGACCCCAGCATGGACAGCACTCAAGTCATTAGTCTGTAGATTATAGCAGTTCAGTTAGCACAATATCTGTGACATGTCTCACAATAAAGAACATCTAAATAAATATCTGTGACATGTGACAGAATACAGAACATCTAACTAAATATCTGTGACATGTGACAGAATACAGAACATCTAACTAAATATCTGTGACATGTGTCACAATACAGAACATCTAACTAAATATCTGTGACATGTGACAGAATACAGAACATCTAAATAAATATCTGTGACATTTGACAGAATACAGAATATCTAACTAAATATCTGTGACATGTGTCACAATACAGAACATCTAACTAAATATCTGTGACATGTGTCACAATACAGAACATCTAACTAAATATCTGTGACATGTGTCACAATACAGAACATCTAAATAAATATCTGTGACATGTGACAGAATACAGAATATCTAACTAAATATCTGTGACATGTGTCACAATACAGAACATCTAACTAAATATCTGTGACATGTGTCACAATACAGAACATCTAACTAAATATCTGTGACATGTGTCACAATACATAACATCTAAATAAATATCTGTGACATGTGTCACAATACAGAATATCTAACTAAATATCTGTGACATGTCTCACAATACAGAACATCTAACTAAATATCTGTGACATGTCTCACAATACAGAACATCTAACTAAATATCTGTGACACGTGTCAGAATACAGAACATCTAACTAAATATCTGTGACATGTCTCACAATACAGAATATCTAACTAAATATCTGTGACACGTGTCAAAATACAGAACATCTAACTAAATATCTGTGACATGTGTCAAAATACAGAACATCTAACTAAATATCTGTGACATGTCTCACAATACCGAACATCTAACTAAATATCTGTGACATGTGTCAGAATACAGAACATTTAACTAAATATCTGTGACATGTGACAGAATACAGAATATCTAACTAAACATCTGTGACATGTCTCACAATACAGAACATCTAACTAAATATCTGTGACATGTGTCACAATACAGAACATCTAACTAAATATCTGTGACAGGTGTCAGAATACAGAACATCTAACTAAATATCTGTGACATGTGTCAGAATACAGAACATCTTACTAAATATCTGTGACATGTGTATCCTTTTTCTTTTTCTGCCTTCTAAAGCATTTGATATAGTTTATCATGATATTTTAATTAGCAAATTAATAACCTTAAAAACTAATAACTATTTAGTTAAATTAATAAAGTCATTCTGGTAGTCTTTACAGTCAAATCATCTCCACCATGTACCCAAACGATCCAACTGTTGACGCTTCACCACTGTCAAAAGATGCTTCTGATGTCCTGCAAATTTGTGTATTGGGCTTCATACATATCTGATAGTTTTATGATCTAAATAGCTAATTATTAATAAAACATTCTTCTATAGCATTTACCCAAGCAATGTTTCCCCATTGTGAATTTGAACACAGAAGACACAAACAATAGATTGCACAATTTATTGCCTGGAAAATTTCCCTGTATCTCGTCAGGTGAATACTACATTAACAATTGAGTAAAATGAAGCAAATAAATTAAAACTTCAAACTGAAAGACAAAATCGGCTACAGTCACACACTGTCTGTTTCACCAAGGTACCCGCATAGTAATGAACATTTCTTTCTGTCGGCATAGTTCTGGATTGAACTGGCTGATTGTTGACATTTCTGCATATCACAGTAATCTAAGGTTGGCCGAAGTGTAAAAAACTTGAAATGCATCGTCCTTGTAAACCTTGTGCCCAGAATTTAGAAGATAACAAACTATTGCTGATGAAGGATTTTTACGACCAGTCATTTATTGTTGGGGATGTGTATTTTCTTTACCACCCATAGTGGACATGTGAGCAGATGACCGATGACTGGAGAAACTGGAAATACAGATAGATAATTGGGGCACAACCTGGAATGTAGTGAATGTTTTTGCTGCTGTTGACTCTCTTGTCACAAAGGAAGACTGAGAGGCTCACAGATTTGGAGGAAATCTTTGGTAATAGGCTTTCCATTTGTGGGGATTTCAGTGCCTGTAACATAGTCTGTATCAATGATGGTTGGCCAACCAGAATAGCAGTGAGACACAGTGCTGCAGACTACAACCATGGTGATCTCAAGAGAGGAGAAGAAACACCAGATCATGATGGAACAGTATGCATTGGAGCAGGTCAACCAGTTCAAATACCTTGTAGTTGTACGGAGGCATTTGGACTGAGCTAGCTACACAAAAGAAACTGTAGCAAAAGATAAATTGGCAAGAGGATGAAAATGGCTGTTTACCGCTCTACCTGTGTACCAGTCCTGGATTATAGGTGTATGTTATGGGCAATGACAACAGCTCACAGAAGCCAACTTCAAACCTCAGAAATGAGATATCTGAAAAAGGTGGTCCAAGTGACAAGAAGGGACAAAGTCCGCAATCAGACAATACATCAAGATCTTGATACCCAGTCCTTACAAACCCAAGTGGACCAGTCACAGTTATGATAGTATGGACATGTATGCAGAATGGGAGAAAATTTACCACCATGGCAAGCATGGGAGGCTAAGAATCAGGGAACCAGACCTCCAGGAATAAAACACAACTGCAGGAAATGATGGATACAGGTAAAGAAAAGTGGAAATGATGTAATTACAAATGATGTAACAGAAAGTGAAAACAAAGGTCTTAGTTTAAACAGCAGAAAAATAGAAGTAATGGTAATTACAAAGAAAACTGAGTTGAGTTGAGTCAAGAATTGACATCACAACACTTAGGGCATTCCCATGTGTGCTCTTTCCTCAACTTAAGCATCAAGTGCAGAGTTCCACTACTGATGGTACCAGTCACAAACTGGTTACATGTCCATCTTGCCTTTCCCCTAAGTGTAGTAAGCCGGCCAGCCTCCCTGGTTACACCCATGTGGCTCATTCTCTCCAGGCCGAAATAATCTTGTTTTGCTTCTGACTCTGTTACTTATTTCCAAAGGGCCCTGACCACATCTGCCTTGTCATGTATCAGTTCACCACCCAGTGGTGCAGATCCAGCCAATCTGTCTGCCTGTTCATTCCCCACCACCCCAGCATGGCCTGGAGAAAAGATTCAAAGTATGCTCACTACCCGTGACCTTACCAGTGAAGCTTACCACTCTGCTCAAAGCATCCCTGTCTTCACCTTTCTCAGCATGCTTTCAGAGTCTGTTATAATTATGAAATGTGTTTGCATCTTGTTCTCCATCCACTGGAAAGCTGCAGTGACCGCCTCCTCCTCCATTCTCATGCTAGACATGGTGGCATTGTATGCTAGGCTGTCCTATACTAAAGATTGTCCATTGGCTTTCGCTGGACTGGATACTGGATAAAAGCAAACAAAAATTTCAAGCTTTGTTCTCTTTCAGCCGCCCGAAGGCCTGCTTTATTAAAGAGGGTTTGTTGCTATATGATTTGAGTTTGGTTTTTTGTGGCGATCATTTTCGCCTAAGTTTAAATTATTTGCAACATCATTTCAGCCTGGTCAGGCTTGGCCGGCAGTTTCCGGTTTTTGAGGGAGTGGAACTGGCAGCCCTTTTTAGGGCTGCCATTTTTTGGGTGGGGTGGCCTGGAGTGGAGATGGGCGGGGACGAACCCCTAGGCTTTTGCTAAGAACCCCCAGGCACTTCTCTTCCCTCTTAACACCTAACCATATGTATAGATAATCAGATCATCTGGGTGAGAATTGTCATGAATCAACTGTTGAACTTTCACCTCCGTAGCACCCGCTGGTAACTCTCTGCACACCCGGCCCAGTGTGATCATAACCCTACACAGGTCAGACTTTTCCGCTGATACTCTGACCCACTTTTCTCCTCGCCCAATGTTCTCCAGCTTGCATACTTGTCTTATTGTGTCTTCTGCTTGAGCCATCCACGATTTTCCTCTTTTCAGACTCTGACCCTTACTGCAGCCAAATCTGTATACAGAAGGTGTTCTTTGTCTGCAGCTACTCTGAGGTATGACTTAGCCTAGCCTGCAGCATCTTTAGCCTATCTGCAATAGTCGGCAATGCAAGGATGTATCACATGCACACAATTGGGGTGTCTCTTGTACATACTAGGATCATGCGCATTGCTTCATTCTGTATGCGCTCCAGTTTCACTAGCTGACTCTTCGAGACAGTGAGTAACCCCAATACATCGTCAATCACTGACAAGATTAAGTGCTGGTCAAGTGTGAACAGCATGCTCTGCTCCATATCCATTATTGCCATAATCTTTAGTGCATTAAGACCTTTTAAAGCCATTGTCACAATCCCCTCTATGTGATCCTTGAAAAACAAACTTCTGTCAAAGGGGATTCCCAGGTACCGCAGTCTGCTCTCTTTTTTGATGTCCTGAACATCAGCTCTAACAATCCTATTGTCCAAAAAACACCACAGGACGGTTGCCTTTACTGGGTTAATTGGAGCACTCATCTCTGTACACCTTATCTGCCATCGTCTGTAACTCTTGAGCTATTTGATTCCAATCTCTCCCATTACTATATAGGAGAACATCTATCATCTGCAAATATCAGTATTCTGCCAACTCCCGGTGTTTCCAGGTCTGCAATCTTGCTCCTAAAAACACTGAACAGTACTGGTGAAATCAGAGATCCCTGTGGTAGTCCTGGAGCTATAATACATGATTCGGAGGTCCATGAACCCAGGCGGAAAGCTACCTAGATGGTATACAAAGCAGCTGCTGTCCAGTTCACCAACCAAGGACAGACTGCCATATCCATAAGGGCTTTCATCAAGATACTTAGAACTTAGAATGACATCAAGAAATGGACAGGACTAAATCAATATACACTTGTTCAACAAACAGAGGACAGAGAAAGACAGCAGGTTTTGGGTGCTAGTGCTTCCATCAATATACTTCCACAACCCTAACAGTTCAACAGTTGTATTATATTATATTATCACAACCCTAACAGTTCAAAGGTTATATTATGTTATACTATCACAACCCTAACAGTTCAACAGTTAAATTATGTTATATTATCACAACCCTAACAGTTCCACAGATATATTATGTTATATTATCACAACCCTAACAGTTCAACAGTTATATTATGTTATATTATCACAACCCTAACAGTTCAAAGGTTATATTATGTTATATTATCACAACCCCTAACAGTTCAACAGTTATATTGTTATATTATCACAACCCTAACAGTTCAACAGTTATATTATGTTATCACTGTGGCAAATTTTGAAAATGTATATAAATGAAGCCTTTTATTTTTTAAAATTTAGTAATGATGTTTGTTTGATGTTTTTTTTTTTCTTCCAAAATTGTTGGGAATTTCTCTAAAGGGTTGTGGGGGCAAGTCAAGAGAGTTACTGAGCTGCTACCAATCCACCATACTGGAAATAAAGTCCTCTTCAGAGTGTTTCACATGTGCATGATTTAATATGTTGTGTAAAATGCATTGCTGTAAAGGTTTCACAGTCATATGCTTTTCAGCAACAAAATAATCCATTTTAATGAAATTCTTCAGGGAAATAAGGTCTGAGTTTTCAAATAACTCAATTTTTGAAGAGCTTTAGAAATGTGCTGGAAAAACCAAGCTTCCATTGTAGACCTATTTGTTCCTCTCAATGGAAATAACTAACGGAAATTGTATATATATATAGAGCTGGTGCAACCAGGTGTACACATAACTGTGGATCATACAAGACACACAATTTCAGAACGCTTCAAATTTTTATATTACAAGAATTCCCAGGCTACAAAAGTAAATATAATAAATATAGCAGACAAAACCGGAAAACAAACTTTTGCCTACCTGCTGTATGATATGCTACAATTGTGGATCACACAAGACACAACTGAAAAACAGGCCTTTGTCCACCCCAACTGCTGTATGATATGCTACAATTGTGGATCATAAAAGACACAACTGAAAAACAGGCCTTTGTCCACCCTACCTGCTGTATGATATGCTACAATTGTGGATCATAAAAGACACAACTGAAAAACAGGCCTTTGTCCACCCTACCTGCTGTATGATATGCTACAATTGTGGATCATAAAAGACACAACTGAAAAACAGGCCTTTGTCCACCCTACCTGCTGCATGATATGCTACAATTGTGGATCATAAAAGACACAACAGAAAAACAGGCCTTTGTCCACCCTACCTGCTGTATGACATGCTACAAATGTGGATCACACAAGACACAACTGAAAAACAGGCCTTTGTCCACCCTACCTGCTGCATGATATGCTACAATTGTGGATCATAAAAGACACAACTGAAAAACAGGCCTTTGTCCACCCTACCTGCTGTATGACATGCTACAAATGTGGATCACACAAGACACAACTGAAAAACAGGCCTTTGTCCACCCTACCTGCTGCATGATATGCTACAATTGTGGATCATAAAAGACACAACTGAAAAACAGGCCTTTGTCCACCCTACCTGCTGCATGATATGCTACAATTGTGGATCATAAAAGACACAACTGAAAAACAGGCCTTTGTCCACCCTACCTGCTGCATGGCACTCCACAATTGTGGATCATAAAAGACACAATTAGGTAACAAGCTTATGCCTACCAGTTGCACGGCACTCCACAACTGTGGATCACACAAGACACAACTAGAAAACAAGCCTTTATCTACCTGTTTCAGGCTACACCACAATCGTTGATCACACAAGACACAACTAGAAAACAAGCCTTTGTCTACCTGCTGCACAGCACACCACATATATGGATTACACAAGACACAACTGGAAAACAAGCCTTTGTCTACCTGCTGCACAGCACATCACATATATGGATTACACAAGACACAACTGGAAAACAAGCCTTTGTCTACCTGCTGCACAGCACACCACATATATGGATTACACAAGACACAACTGGAAAACAAGCCTTTACTTACCTGCTGCACAGCACACCACATATATGGATTACACAAGACAACTGGAAAACAAGCCTTTGTCTACCTGCTGCACAGCACACCACATATATGGATTACACAAGACACAACTGGAAAACAAGCCTTTGTCTACCTGCTGCACAGAACACCACAGATATGGATTACACAAGACACAACTGGAAAACAAGCCTTTGTCTACCTGCTGCACAGAACACCACATATATGGATTACACAAGACACAACTGGAAAACAAGCCCTTACTTACCTGCTGCACGGCTGTTATCAAGGCCAAATCATCCTGGGGTTTCCATCTGCCCAAATCTTTTACTGTGGGTGCAACTGTCTTTTGTCTCCTGGATCTTTTTGACCTAGCCTGAAATGAAGCAACATCTAGACCAGTTAACATATAACAGCAATGTTGTGAGCAATATATGGACATACACATGATTATGTTCCTTGGGAGTATGGACATTATTTCTACAATGTTTATATCCCTTGGAGTTCAGACTTAAAAACTTAAGGGGTCATATGTTAATTGGACCACAGACCCATCTGCCGGGATCACAGGGTCAAAGACCTATATAGCCGTGCAATGGGAGGAAACTGTGTGGAGTTCATGAATGAATGTGAACCAGGGTCTTCATTCTAGGCATGAGAGAACTCACGTGAAGATGGTATTGATATTACAGGCAGTTCACTCCATGAAATCAAAGGAGCAGCTGACTCCACGACATCAGAGAGGAAGGACGGACCATCAAGATGTTGCCTGCTGATTCGTGTGAGTTGTAACACTGTGGCAGGACAATGTGGTGGGAATGGTGTTGTTGGGAGTCCACGATAATACCTCGTTACCTGTGTCAATATTTGGTACAGTGTTGACTTAAGCCAGGAAATATCCGTGGGTTGAGTCAATACTGTGGCAAGTGGGAAGTGACTTGGCACAGGATGGACCTGGGGAATTCACGAGATATTAACAAGTGTGGGCTAACTATCTTGACTGGGGCAAAATAGCCACTTGTGCCCGGAAGAAGTGTGACATGTGTGACAACGTGCGTCTCGTGTGCACAGGCAGCTCACAAGGGGCAGGCAAGGGTATATACTGGGGTTGAGTGAACTGGTGAACAGTGGCAGTTGAGAACTTAAACAGTTGAGTCGAGGACATTCGAGTGAAGCAAAGGAAGGAGAGTCCAGTTGGCAAGTCAGGCCAAGTAAGCTGGATGACTCAAGAGACGCTCAGAGCCAGGAGTCCTGCCGGTCATTGGAGTTTCTTTGACGAGGCAGCTGAGGTGCTGTGGGCACATGCTGGAGAACGAGAACTGTGACATTTCCAGCCAGCCGATGTGTCTGCATCGTATAGAACAACAGAGGTCCAGTTAATTAGGAGAGATATCCTGTTCATCTGTACAGTGAGCCCGGAGTTGTGGGGCGCTGCAGACTTAGAACCGTAGCGGTAAGCTCATGTGTAGCGGCGGCTAGTCAAGCTGTCCGGGAGAGCTACGCTGTACTTAAAAAGTGTACAAAGAGAGTATCACATGTTAGTCAGGACAGATGTCTGCATCACTTTGTTTATCTTGTTGTGTGTGTAAGAGCTTGTGAATACCGTCTGTGATCATAACAATAAATGTGCTTGTATGGCAGACATTACATCGTTGATTTTTTCTGCGAGCTGTGTATGGAAGTGTACCGCTAGACATTAGGCCGTGTGCTGGTTGCAAGTTAGCACACAACACAAGAGTCACTGAGAACCCATGTTTTTTTTTAAGTGTGTCGCTGTAGGGCATTATCAGGGAGCTTTGTGGACTTGTGTGAGCAAAGGTTCTAGTCTGGGTGTTGCCAGCTAGACTTGTGCACCTATGTGTCATAAAGGGTGAGGCAATGGGGGATATTTTCACCCAGATAGTATGTATGTTTGATTATCTGATTTGTAATTGTTGATCGACACATATGATTTATATATATTTATATGTATTATGTATAAATTGTGTATATCATGTCATTGTGACGAATACAGGACATAGACATAAGGTGACGAGACGAAATAGTTTGGAATTAGATATGAAAATTTACTAACTACAAAATGTAAACAATATTTTAGAATTGAATAAGCAAATTTATGACGATGAAATATGCTTTTTAATGTTTGAACATGTAATGTCACTCAACAATTGAAATGTATACAGGGAATTTAAGTGATTAATATACCAGGAAATACATTGTAATATTTTTGAAAATGTAAAGGGAGATAAGCATTGGAAATGTAATAAAGACTGGTGGGAAATCACTATAGGTAGGGGAAATAAAATCCATAGCACCTATAAGGGGAAATAAATGAATATCTAATGGAAATAACATTAGTGGATGTTCAGTGAGTATAGTGGCAAGGGTGGGACTTTACGGGTTTACATTATTGTTCCATAGCCTTTATGGATTTCCGCACTTGAAAGAGTAGTACCTGAGGTGATTTTCTGTCGTTTGACAGACTGTGGGATGAGGTGGGATGAGGTTGGAAGCGTGTAGAGCCTTTATGGTCGCAATTGAAAGAGTATTGCCTGGGGTGTTGATTCCATTAAGCCACATAATACTCACTGGGCATGACAACTGACAAAAGTTCCAAAGGAAAAACATGAATTACCCAAAAGGGGTGGAATAAATTTTTTACCTCTGATACCAATGAAAATACCTAACTATTACATAAAATACACTCCTATCCATTAACGATAATGAGAAAAAAAAGTGAACTTTTTTTTTAATACGAAGGAGGGAGAATGCAATGGGGGATATTTTCACCCAGATTAGGATGGTTGGGGGGAAGGCCCAAAGCTGACCTAAAACACTGAGATAGTCCAGATACTAGGATAAAACGAGAATCTTGAGATAGGTGATGACCGCTAGTTATCACGGGTACCACGGGAATGCGACCCAAGGTCGCCACGTGAAAAGTAAAGGGCCACCACGTGTTATCACGTGAAACTAACCCGTGATATAAGTCAGACTTGACTCTGGTCAAGTTTAGTTTGTCGACCTGTTGGAGAGAGAGGACGTGCGACTGAAAGTGAGAATGTCAACGTGAGAGTGCTTGTGGAGAAAGGAGACCCAGCTGACGAAGTGTGAAGCCGAGATCGACCATGCCAGTGTGTGAGATGGCCAGAACCTCAACGTGAATCCATGGGAACCGACTTTGGTCAGTGAATGCTTGAAGAAGACTGTTCGTTGAAGGCTGCGTGAGTTTGGGTACGAGAGCTGTTTACTAGGACAACGACTGGACCTCTATTTTATGTAAGTGTAAATACGTCAATAAACGCATGTCTCGTAAGCTCACATCGGTGTCGGCTTGTGCCAGTTGTGTAACGTGGAGCGTGTGAGAAGATCCTCCACCACACACGCATGAACACTACCTAGACAACGAGAAGAAACACACACCACTTATTACAGGTGATGAAATCAAGTGTTCATGTTGTCTGCAGGAGTTGCCACAGTAATATGGGCCCAGCGTGATGGGTTTATAAGGTGAGATTCAAGATTTCTCATGGTAACGTGACAGGTCGCAGAAGGATGTCTGGATAGTTTTTCATAAGATACTGTGCATCAGCCTGCATTATCTCTAGTGACATTATCTCCAAGATAAAGGAGTTATCTGAGATAAAAGAGATATCTGAACGAACGAACGAACGAACAAACTTTATTTTCAAAGGGTTACAAATTGGGCACGCAGGCCCGTCTGACATTCGGTCCTTTTAAGCACTCATTTTTCAGAGTACCACTGCCTGTTATCTAAAATGCATGTTATGGATATAGAATAAAAATATACATTATAGAATATAATACATTCATCATGTGTACACAGTCTTACACACTTTCCCATTCTCATACATGCACACTCATATACCGACATACCTAGCACATACATACATACATGCATACATACATACATACATACATACATACATACATACATACATACATACATACATACATCCATCCATCCATCCATACATAAACGCATCTGCATATATACACAAACAGAAAAGACACATACATACATATATGGACAAATATGCACACACACATTCCATACATACACACCTACACATGCATGCATGCATACACACACAAACAATCACATGTACAGACACCCACAACCACACATTTACACTCACATGTAAGCATACATACATACATACATACATACACACATCAATACATACACCTACATCTTTACACACATACATGCTTACATACCTAAATACACACATGTACACTCACATACTTATACATCTACAAATGCATACACACATCCACAAACATGCATACATACACACACCCACATACATGCCGACACACATTACATACATGCATACACAAATATATAATCACTCATACAGATACTCACATGCATACATACACTCATGCATACATACATACTTGCCTACATTATGTACACACATACCCACAACTTAAATATACATTCATATACACATCACATATATACACAGTCACACACATACACACATATCACTTTTATACATACATACACATACATAATACATACCCACATACATACATACATGCATACTTGCATACATTCATAAATACACACATCCACACACAGCTACATATACCGACAAACATCCATATACATGCATGAATACCCATACACCCATATACTTACACAGCTAAATTTACATAGAAACATTCTCATACATATACATAATACATGCACCTACATACATATAGATACAGATACCCACATACATACATCACATGCATACCTGCATCACACATACTTTCCACATACATTAAAAATATATATATATATATATATATATATATATATATATATATAGACACATACTCACAACCCTAAATATACCTTCACATATGAACATACACATATACCCACAATCACACACATGCCCAGGTAATACACACATACACACACATACATAGTGACTTTTATACATACACATCCATAATACATACCCACATACTCACACACATACCTACATTTATAAACAGACATACACACCACATACCTATACATCCACATATACCTACATACATCCACATACATGCATAAATACACACACACATACTTACACAGCTACATTTACAAACATTCATTCTCATATGCATACAGACAAACCTGATACATACATACACATGTATACATACATACATAGGCAACATCTACATGTATACATAAAACAAGCATACATCCATACATACATGAGCACACATCCATACATACATGCATACATACACAAACATAAAATGCACACACCTATGTACACAGACATATTTGCATACACATACACACATAGATGCATACATAGACACACATACACCCACATACTTACACAGCTACATATGCAT